CATTAACAGAAGCTGCCTGATTGGTCCCTATCGACATCAAAGTTGTCTTGAAAGGAGAGAACGCCAATTCTGAGCTCGTTAAGTTTATGATTGACCAGAAAGTATTAAAAGGAGGAGCACAAAACAATAAATAAATAACGAAACTGAGATTTTTTAAAATTTATAAATATTGAAGATGACCATAATTACTGTTGGTTTACTTCTCACGAGATTAACAACACATAGGTGAAATGTCAGAAGAAAAGCGAAAAACAGGTGTCTTTTATCTTAGGAGGAAAAAATAATGTATCAAAAATAGCTATGTGGAATCGAGTTTTTGGTTGCTTTAGTTTCGAAAAAAAAACATTGCCCTAAGTTTGAGAAAATATATATAAGATAAATAGAGAAGTTTTGTTTCACTTAATTTATTTCTTTACAATATGTAAACTCTGTTTACACTACACATCAGGAGACGATGGAAAAACATAGAAATTCACATAGAAAATTAACAGGACTTTAGCGGATGGTATTTAGTTCTGTAGTTAATAATTTATTTCATGGAGTGCTACCACGAAATATGAAACTAAATGGGTAGTTTCTATTCATGTTGTACATGTCATGTTACTTGTTTCATATTTACTTGTTGTATTTATCATTTAATACAGTTGTAAATTTCAAAAATAAAAAAAGAATAAAATAGTTTATTTCCGCTATGTAAACGTTTAACGGTAACAATGCATGATTCAGAATATTTTATCAGTTGTGTTTTAATTTTAATTTTAAAATGACTTAAATTCACTTCTTAGCCATTCGGTATTATATTAGAGAGCTCACGTCTTCATAACTAGGAATTTTCGGAAAAAATAAAGACATTTTTCGAAACAAATATAGCGATATTTGTATATCGATTATCTATAAATAAATTTGAATATCGAAAACTGACATTTTTTCAAAAAAATATTAATAAAGAAACGAAAAAAAAAAAAAAATAAATAAAAATGTCCACAACGAAAGCCATCTCAATACGACAGAGAGATGTGATAGTTTGTAAATATATATCTGAGAAAACCCTTGGTTTAATTAATTTTTCTTTAATATCTTAGTAAAAAATTATTTTTGGTTTATTATTTCTCATTTTAGGTTTATAATTAAAACTTAAAGTTTTTTTCGTAGGCCACTATTAATATAATTTTGATTTTATTAATATTTTTTTTGTTAACGAGCAATTTAAACCATTTTTCTCTAATTCTTATCAATAGCCCTTTTACAATAATAAATTGTATATTTTATAGATTTTTAGCAATTCATTTAAAATTGGTTTACTTCGATCCTTTTCAACAATAAACTAATAATAATATATGTAGGGATATTATTCTTCCATAAATACTTTTTTTAAATAATCAAAATATATTTTTAAATACTATCTATATGATGTATCGATATATTTTCTCTATATTTACATATCTATTTATAACAAGGAATAAATTAATAAACGGCTCATCTTAAATGTTAATCCATGTTATATTACCAAATTTTTATTAAGACAAAGTGAGATTTTCAAGTATTCGAGATAGGTTACGTTCGTTGACAACAGTCGTGCGATTTCAGGAATTTGTCACTGGTAAGAGGTCCAATGCTTCATGACCTCACGAATCGTTGGGTAACGAGGACCTCATTATTCTAATGGAGTATTGCTACATATTGCCGATCAGAAATTTAAAAAAAATTAAATAAATCTATATAATTTAACTTTTTATATCAATATGTTTCATGATGCAGTTTCATGAATATTTTAGGTAGAATTTGAAGTTAGAATAAATTTGCAGTTAGAATAAATTACATTGTACGAGGATAACCTAAATGAATCATGAAGCCAAACCAAGTTTGCAGTTTTGTTTTGTATTGTTATATACTACATCTGGATAAAGATACAATAGCGAGTACTTTGTCTTTTTAAATATGGTGTATTTTAATTACAAAGTATTTGAATTATTTATAATAAAAAAGTATTTAAAATAAAAAATATACGAATTTCAAATAACAACTGCTTCTAGTATTATATCCTATAATTTAGAAAATAAATTGAGGAAACTAATCACTCTAATCAGTAATTTGCTTTTTTGTACTTAAAATAAAAAATAATATATATTTCCTGTATTTGTTTTAATTTATAAAAAACAAATTGTTTATAAATAACATCCTATATTTCGATTATTTATCTTAAAGTTTATTACCAAATAAAATAATTTATTGAAGATAGTTTTCGTATGTTTGCAATTGCTTTTGCTTGACTCCATCGTGGGATATAAGGGGTAAAAATACCGTTGTATTTAGTTATATAGAAAGAAAGTAATAATAACTTGTTTATATCTTTTCTCTCGAAACAAATTTGATATCAATATGGTGTACTTGATATCAGTCTTAAAAATAATTTCCTTAAAAAGAAAAAAACATATTTTTAATATTCAATTTTAAAATATTATAAATTTTACTATAGAATATATACTTAGCGAGTTAGGTCCCAAAACATTTTTATTTTCTTTACAAATTTTTTTCGTGAATTTGGTATATGTACGAAAATTTAAAGGATATTAATTAGAAAATTATAGGAAAGTTGCATCAAAATCGTTGTTGCGGTTTTTGTACTACAGTATATAGAGCACCCGATTTGTGTCACGGGCATCAGTAGTCTAAAACCTACAAAATAAAAAAAGAAGCTACAAAATCAGTCTACTAGTTCTCGAGACAATCTTCGCACAGACAGACAGACATATTAATGGTTGAAAATGTGTTTTTCGGATGAAACGTAAAGATACGTCGAAAACCGCATCATCGGGTGTTTTGTAGGTAATTTAATTACCTTTCGAAAGTTTTTAGATAAATTTTATAGAATATATAACTTAGCAAGTTAAGCCCCAAAACATTTTTCTTTTCTTTATAACTTGTTTTCCTTAATGTTTTCGCAGAATTTAGTAAATGTACAAAAATTGAATCATTGGAGCCGTTTTTGCACTACGGTATATAAAAAATATGTTTTTCCATTATTGCGCAGAGAGCACCCAGTTTGTGTCACGGGCATCAGTAGCCAAAACCCTAAAAATAAATAAAGAAGGAACAAAATCGATCTACTAGTTCCATAATTTTTGCACAGACAGACAGACAGATTAATGGATTAAATAAGGGAGTTCTGAAACGTATAGATCCGTCGAAAACTGCTCATTGGAAATTTGACCGGATCGAAATACTTTCCTAATCTCGTGTAGGTAGGAAAGCAAAAAACAATTAGACAAAAAAGTATATTATTTGGTTGAGCCTCTAATTAGTGGTAGATGAACGAATTTAAACTGGATCGAGATAACGTTTTAATGTTTAATATTTAAAAATAAAAGATGGTTTCAGGTAAGTCGGTTATTATTGAATGGATTAAAAATGACTGTGTTACACTAAAAAAAAACGCTAAAATTTGGATTTACTATTTATTTATTTTAAAACAAATTTAGTCAGGGCCGAAAGTTTAGATTTTTACAAGGACATGTTAGCTAACTTTTGCTTGCATTTACCTACCTCTCCCTTCCAATAAAAATCAACATTTTATAACAGTATTTTAGGTATATACATGACATTATCTGATTAGTTTAAGGCATTAGTTGGTGTGAATAAGTTCTTACTTCATTATAATTATTGTCCGTGTGACAGAAAGTTATATTACTAATTAAATATATATATATATATATATATATATATATATATATATATATATATATATATATATATATATTTAAACATAACCATTTAATTCACAAAAAAGGTCACTTATAAATTATTTAATAAACTACTGAATGTTCATTTCCTCTATGTTTATTGACGTTTCGATCTCGGTATTTTTCTTTTTATAGGTTAACAACGGGATCCTTTTCATAGTTTTAGAATAGAGCTTCGATACCTCGAGGCCAGGGACACACCTACAGTCTCAGCACCATCTACCAGCACATATATTAAGCTACTCCTCGTTTATATATATAATACATACATATTATATATTATACATGTGTTAAGAGTAGCTTAATATATGTGCTAGTGGACGGTGCTGACTCTGTCAGTGTGTCCGTGTCCTGAGGTATCGAAGCTCTATTTTTTAAAACTTTGAAGTGGATCCCATCGTTGACTTATAAAAAGAAAAATACCAGGATCGAAACGTCAATAAACATAGAGGAAATGAACATTCAGTAGTTTATTAAATAATTAATAAGTGACCTTATTCCCAATTAAATGGTTATGTTTAAATTTAATACTCAAAGGTCGATTAAAGAAAAGTTGTAAATATATATGTGTGTATATATATATATATATATATACATATATATATATATATATATACACATATATATATATATATATATATTTCTTTTTTTCCATTACACTACAAGTAATCCTGAGATTTTATTTTTATTTCTCTCAGTGTTTGCATATTATTATATAAATCACTGTAAATATTATTACGTTATGTATGAAGTTATTTTTTAATTAGTTAGCCTACTGTTTATAAATTTTGTAGTTACGTATATATAAATATGTAATTTTATCTTTGTTTTTTTTTCTCATCACAATAATCAGTAATTTTGAGAAGATTCTATAATCATACTTTTTTTTTTTAGAGGTTACATACTATTGTTTATAATTTTATTAAATTTAATTTGTGGGTACTAATGTATATAATTTTAGAATTTTTATGAGTTTTTTTTGGGGCAGATTTATATTTTCTTTTGTATTAGTTTAGTTTATGAGACAAAAATATTTTACTTAAGCTAAAAAATTTCTTTCGAAATTTGTCACCTTCTAAATTCTGCAACCCAAGACAAAGGTTCCCTTTGCCTCTCTCTAATGCCTAGACTGAATTTACTAATCTCTTTTGTCATCACTGAGGACACCCTAAACCTTTACGTTTATAATTTTTCAAAGATCATTTCGGACACAGTACATCAATTTCCTATAAACAGTAAAGTATATTTGACGTTGAATACCTGGGCATCGGCAGCTGCTACCAAAGTGAGCGCAGAGGCGAATAGTATCAGCTGCATGGCACCCAACCGACTGGTTCGCTTCCTCAGCTCTGAAGTAACATCCTTGCACAGCCTTCCATCCCTACCTAGCTCTTCTGTCTTGAGCAACCTCCGCAGGCAAAGCTTTAATTCTTTCTTAACACTTAACGTATCGAGTGTCCTAAGATTATTCGAAAAAAAGGAGAAAACAATATTGCGAAAGTAAGTATATAGGCGTAAATTGAAAGAAAAAAAAATAGCATTTGCATATTCAACGTCCTTATAAAAAATTCTAGAGTGTGCATCGCACATCTTTCAATTACCACTCTACTTTGAGTAGTAATTGTACTTTGCCAAAATAGTGCTATTGTAAAAAGTCTTAGAAGTGCATAGGGAACACATTTTTGAATTTTTGTCATATTTATCTATGCTTGTATCTCATCAAGGCCACCAAAATAAAAAGTCTGTTATATCGACGATAAGGTGTGAAAACCTCATAAAACCATCAGTGTATTAAAACCACATAAATTTCAGTCTCGGAGCTCAACATTGATATTTTCATTCTATGAATAAGTAAGTAAGGACGAAAAATTCGCACAGCATATTGTTATCAAATGCCAAATTAATAAGAAAATAAAATAACGCAACGTATCAAAAAATAAAGAAATCAATTGTTACTTTATCGATAAATATAATTGACAAAAGGAACAAAAATTAATTTAATTCTTCATTCATATTTGGAACCAACATGTTCATGAATTCCAATTAGATGTATCTTTTCTAAAAATTGTCCGATTACGATGATTTTTTTTTTCATTTTGTAGGGAATTTAGTAATCTTTTATATAATATGGGCATAACTCAGGGAAAAGTGAGTAATTTTTAGTTATTCGCAAGTAAAGTTTATTTTCTTTCATACCTTGTTTGCCTGAATTTTCAGGGTGATTGGACTATTTTGTCCGCCTGGAGGAGAAGAAAGCCTTCGAAATTGGTGGCTCAATCTTGAGATTTGGTGAAGAATTAACGATATATTGCCATCCTATCAAAAACACCATCGATAAATAAACTCCTCCTCTCTCGATCATAGAGATAGGAGCTTATATTTGTTACAAAACCGATTTCGAGCCTTACTGTAATAATATATGAGGGCATGGGGATGGGGATGAAGCTGTTCAAGAGAGCCCAAAAGGGGATTTCATGGCGCAAGTCAAAACAAAACTTTTGAGGAGGCATATTTTGACAAGTTTTTGAATTTTTGAGGAGTGCAAATTTCGACGGGATTATGAATTTTCGAACCAAGATAAAAGTAATAAAACAACGAACATATCGCAGCAACTGTAATTGTATATGATCTACGATTTTTCTAATTCTACCTTAGTTGTTCTGTTTTTAAGAAAATGTGAGCAATAAAATACCTTGGGAGTTGGAGGGGGAGGTAGAATCTTGTGCGATCGACCTTGAGAGGGATGGGCACCTTTTGGTGCTGTTTAGTAAAAAATATGGAAATAATTCCTACATTGCCTCTATTAAAATTTACCAAAATAATAATAATAAACTTCTTTCGGTTTAAGGTGTCCCATAAGTTCTTCCTTTGTTTTTTATTTGTTGTTGAATGTTAATTTATTGAGTTATATATATATATATATAACTCAATCGCTTACACCGATACTTCTTTCCTCCCATTCGAACAACCCAACCTGTACTCCTGTAATCTATCCTCGGCCTTACCTTACTTAATAAGTCACAACCTATTATGCCTCCGTACTCTCTCGGCATGTTCTCCACCACGTGAACCCTCAATTTCCCGATTCCGGCCACCCATCGCTCCAGATCTAATTCTACCTCCCCCTCGACTCTACAAGGACCACCCAAAGTAATCAACTTACACTTACAATTTTTTATTTCTGGTATCCTCTCTCCTTTACACAATTCCTCCAGCATCTTTTTACATAATATTGTACTAGAGCTCCCAGTATCTACCAAACACTTCCCTCTAACCACAACACTTATAATTGGCAAACCAACGCACTCACCTCCAATATTATTTACTACCGCGTGGCTGCCTCTCCTCTGCTCCTCTCCTCATTCGTCTGATCTTCCTCTTCTGTCCGCAACGGCTCCTCCTTCTCCACTCTTCCTGCTAATTCTTCCTCCTCGAGCTCTTCTTATCCCCGTCTCCTCTTCCTCGGTTCCAGATGTCCCTGATGACTCATCTGACTCCGATACTGCTCCTCTCTTTCTCCACAATCTCTGGGCGTTCACTTCCATTGGTTCATCCCGGCCCACGTCTCCCCGTCTACTCATATACGGGCATTGTCTGGCAATGTGTCTCTCGGTTTCGCATTCGAAACATCGGTTTCGCATTCGAAACATCGGGTTCGCGGGCTATTCGCCACTAGGTGGCCTATCTTTCCGCACCCGTGACATCTCCTGTCTTCCTTTGTCCATTTCTTCCTTTCTTTGCCTGGCTTTCTCTCTCTCATTGCCGGCCTTTCTCTTGTACTAACCTCTCCTCCTCTTTTCTTCCACCCCTCCTGTCTTGCTTTGAACCTCCCGGTTTCCGCCCTCCTATACGAAACCCTGTTCCATCCATACTCATTCTCTTCATCCCCACGGGCTGCTTCTTCATCCCGAGCACTTGCATCTATCATCTCCTGAGCACACTCCACAAAGCTCTTGTCCCTCGGTAGTCCATCCTTCTTTCCAGTATCTCTCCCCAACTGAACTTTAAGGATGGTTGACAAAAATGCCATCCTGGCTCCTGTTTCCACCGCATCAGCCACTTCCCTCGTCTTCTCTGTTACGTTGTTAAAGCGTGCCAGCAGATTTGCAGCATATTGCCCGTTGGTCTGATGAGGCTGTTTCCTTTCCCGGAACATCTGCAAGATGTCCTCCTCGGGCGCCCATCGACCTCCTCCAAACGCCTTCTTCAGCCGATCCTTCACAATATTCCATGGAGTGTCTTCATCTGCCTGAATCATATTCAGCACGCCCCTCTTAACCCGGCATACCAAGGCTGCCCTTAATGCATTGGCATCCATCGGGTCTATCAGGTTTTCCTCCTGCTTAGCCAATATACGCGATATCACCCGATCGCCACCTTTTAGGAAGTGATTCAACTCACCCACTCCTCCATCGAATCTTTCCAAGTCGGATATCGCTCTCCTAAGGTCCTGCGACGTCGCCGTTCTCACCTTCAACCACTCTAACGTAGTTGCATGTGCTGATGTTAACGTTTCCGTAGGTAGTGGAGGAAAATCCCTCGCTAACGCCTCTGACAGCGGAGAGAACGCCGGCGGTGGAGCCAACGGTGCTGCTGGTGGTGCCGTCGGCGGTGTCGCCTGTGCTACCTGCTGTGCTACCTGTTGTGCGGTGGATACTGGTGGTTGCCCTATTCCGTTCGGCATCCTTCCTCTTTTTTTTATTTCTTGTGACGTTAATAACAACAACAAAAAACGAAAAGAAAGAGAAAAAAAAAACTACTTCCCCGACTGATTCTAAAGGTCCCGGGTTTCGGCACCACTTACGTCAGTTCGAACAAGAAACAATAAAAAAAAGGGAAAAAAGGATCCGAAATGAAGCACGTGGTTACTCAAATAAGACTGACTTTATTGCCTTAGTAATGCCATATATACAGTATTACACTTTGTTTACACTTCATAGATAGGATTAACTTAGGATTAACTGTTATATTGTCTTACCTCTAACCATAACTTATATATATATATATATATATATATATATATATATATATTATATATATATATATATATATATATATATATATATATATATATATATATATATAGCGTTCTGCAATAATATGTGCGTTGGCCATAAGATGGAAACTATTAGTTTGATGGGGACATTCTACTTCATCCGACGTACTAACCAGACCTTGCCTCATCCAATTATTACTTGTTTCTTTCGTTAAAAAAAAAATCTCTTGGCGATAAATGTCACAAAACTGAAAATGAAATAAAAACGCAGCTCGATGAATATTTTGTAAGTCTCAAAAATTTTGGAATAAGACTAAGGTGAATAGATTTTAACATTAGTAAAGCGGGACACCATTGACTAGGGGTAGGTAAATTTGGTTCATTAAGTTCAAAATTGTTACAATCATTAATTTTACATAATGATGATCTGGGTCTCAGATCTGATGGTCGATCGGGTAAGGCGTGTGCAAAACACACGATACTTGGCAACCAGATATGAAATTGTTTCGCGTCCCGGTTTTGAGGGACTTGGATCTCCCGCGCTCTTCTGGCTTTGAAAAACCGGCGTATAGCCTTGGAGGAGAGGAAGGGGTAGACAAAAAAAAAAATAATAATCAGGTGCAAATTTTAATCAGGTGGCATTGTATTCAGCTGAAATAAGGGCGAGAATTTAGTTCTAAAGGTGTATTTCTCAGAGCGAATTATTTGATGATGTATTTGACGTATAATTTATGACCTCAATAATAACACAGTTTTTAAGACAAATATTTTGTGCAAGCAGTTTTTACAAAATCAAGCAGCTATTTTCAAAATACTAAAAACTTTTTTCAATTTGAAAAAGTTTTTTCAATAATTATTGAAGGTGACAACGTTTCGGAAATCGAAGTAGTAAATGAAGTTAATTTACTAATGCATTAAATTTAACCTTAATCAAAAAAATATAAATTGATAAGGAAAACCTTATCGATATATATTTTTAATAATGATACTTAATTAAAAAACTATTTTTGGGTTATTTATTATCGTTAAGACCATAAAATGGTGGTCGAATTCTAAAAACTGATCAAGATTTCGAACTTTGTGCTCAGCAGTTGTCGATAATCAGTTTTTAATAATTATCCGTTATTATTAAAATTTAAAATTATAAAATCAACAAAAATAATATAAAATTCATATCCTGGCTAAATAGCAGCATGGCCGCCAAAAACCGTATATTCTCTTCCCTTTTTCTAGCTTGTAGTGCATTCTTTCGAAAACCGGGTCTTCTTGAAAACGCCGCGGGGCACGGGACAAATTATGATAAATTACAGTGTATTAATAATATATTATTATATAATAATAATAATATTATTAAGCTTCTGTAAATTGGGACTATAATAAATAATCGAAGAGAAGATTAGTTGGGGTGTTCAGTAAAAAAAAATGTAAACATAATTTATTTATTTTGACTTTTTTTTTTTACTGAACACCCCAACCAATATCATCTTAAAAAAAAAATAATATATATATATATATATATATATATATATATATATATATATATATATATATATATATATATAATGTACACATGTATATAGTGTAGATACAGCGTGTGATTAAAACAATTCCAAAAATATAATATTAAAAAATGTGAACATTAATAATTTATACTTACATATAAATATTTAATTTAATTTGTTTTTAAAACATGATTTTTATTTTCTGATAAAAATTATTTTGATCACAATTTAATCATTATTATTTTTGTAAAATGGTATCACTCAGTGACTGATCGTTGTTTTTAATCGAATAAATAAACATCGAAGATCGATTTAAATTTTTATTTATAAATAAGGCACGATTTTTAAATGAAAAATCAAATATAACAACTATTAAATGATTTTGTGAAACAAATAGTTATCGATTCCAAACTCTGTTAGTAAGGGAGAGAACTATTTATACAAATCAAGGCTCTTCTACATCAAACAAATACGTCTTAAGTAAATATAATAATGGATTAGTATGAATTCAGGAATAGCTGTCTTGCATAACTGTTAGACTGTTAGACTGTTAGTTTAACAGTATGAAGGTGGAGACCAATGGTGTGTATTTAATAGACTATCTTGATGATACTATATTTTATATAAATATATACTGTATTTTTACTTGTAATACAGTTGTAAATATCATCATAAATAAATTAAAAAAAAAAAAAAAGATGTATACATGTTTCGATATGTATCGAAATGTTCCATATACGAGTTCGAAAGCAATGCAATCAGAAGCAGTTATTCTTCATAAAACCTTGTCGCAACTTCAAACTTAATGCTAATCGAGCCATAAGACCTGATTGTAATAATACATCGTTAGGTAATCAGATATTATTTATTCATAAAGTGAATCAATCTAGTTGATAAGATAAGGAACGTTTGGATTGGGTAGGCACGGTAGCTGGAATGTGTGATGCGCTAAGAAGTTCACTATCCGTAGCGTCTTCTCTTTCATTGCTTAAGGAGTATTGCGCTTATGAGTATTCTACATTAATTAGCAGATTGTTAGGGCTGGATTGCAGCTCTGCCATGGTCCATGATATTGAGTCATAATCATAACAGAATAAAAGTAAGCATTTTACTATAGTCGTCGGTACACACCTCTTTTTATCAAACATTCGCCTAAAATTTTGTGAATTGCTTCATCTTATCGTAACCTAAATTTTTTTTATTTACGTAAAATCTCAGAAATGGGGCGTATTCTCATTAAATTAATTAATTTAACGATGTACTAAAAACTCATACATGGCCATTTGCTTTTCGCCTGAATTGTAATTATAATTTGATAAAAAATTGTCTAAAAATGTTAGGAGAGACGTTCGGCACATTAGGAGTGGAAGTCTCGTCAAACGTCCTAATATTTTTCAAGGCCACCTTTTACTCGATTTTGTAATCATTTTTTTTTACGATTCAAGTGGAAAGCAATGCGGGTGTTAAGGAGTTTTTATTAAATAAATAAATAGACAAAATTTACAATCTCCAGATTGAAAACACCCGATAATTTTCGTAAATAATAAAGTTGGAGGTTTTGATAAGATGAAGCTATTTACGAAGTTTTAGGTAGATGTTAATAATTTGTTAAAAAGGGGTCTATACTACCATGTTTCCAGGAAATATAAATCTGGTACTATCATGAATTTTCAATTTTTATTTTATGTTAAAGATCAGTTATAACTATAAAAACTCATTTTTCTCATGCATATTTGAAAAGAGAATTTAATTCTATATTGAATAATATAACATTCTGTCACTTAAACAGAAGCAAAATAACAACTAAATAATAAACAAAAATTATATACAATAAATAAAATATATACAATTAGGAGAGGGAACTCCGAGGCAGGCTTGTTTCTCCAACTATGAATTCCAAGAGATCCCTGCGCTACTCTCTCTACCGCGTCATTGGTACTAAAGCTACTGGAGATTGACCGAGAGCGCTTCAACCACTCATGTCTTGAGTGAATAATCTGCCCATTGCCACAACTCCAATATTTGCAAACTACAAAAGGTCGCGGGACTGCCCTTTTAATCTTCTAGGAGGATTATAGGGGCAAACAAATTAGCGTTGAAGAAAAGTGGTGGGGAAAGAGCAACGTCAAGATATTGGAGACGTCATGTCATGCCAGTGTATATTTCATAGCGTTGGGTATCATATACTTTTTAGTTTATAATAACCTGGCGGTTGAGCATGATCTCGGCTTAATCACTTCTTTGCACAAACGTTGACTAAGAAACAGTACTTCCTTAAAAAGTACTTAACCCAAGACCCTTCATGGATTGTAGCTTTTTAATTTTTTTTTTTAGCTTATATTTTTCAGATTTTTCTCTTACCCTGTCGTCTCTGAATAAATATATTTATTTTGTAATGTATTTTATTAGCTTCTTTTTTTTTAATGAATATTGATAAATTAAAACTGAGAGACACTTCGACAGTATCTTGTAAGGCAGTAGTATGCGTCACACAGCAGTGGGCATAGGCCACATCTCCGATACGCACTGTTTCCACTACGCGGTGGAATTTGCATCAATATCTCATAATATTAATTACGACGATTGCAATAATAAGATAAAAATCTTTATACCTATAGGAGATATAGGCTTTTTTGTATTGAATGGTGAATCTAAATAGACGCTCTTTTGTTTTTGAATATCAGAAAGATATCTGGATTGTTCTATTCAACGATAAAATAACACGTGAAGTACAATAATGGATTGATTACATAAATAATAGAGAGACTAGCCATAAATGGGATATATTTTGTAGATCTTGGTCACAACCACTTCCACTATAATCACTCACTCCAATTTTTTCCTGTTTTTGTACAACTTCTTTCATTGTTTTTGTTAAATTTTCTTCTTGTAGTCTATGTATTTAATTTTAAACTGAAGTTTTTAGCATTTCGTCATGTAATTTTAACTTTGAATCCTCACCTGCTAACTCTAATTAATGTAATCTTTAAATTTTTATTTTACCAGTTTTCTCTTGAATCCTGAACCTTAAATTTAATTGTTTTATTTAATATTTTCTTGTTACTTCTAACATTTAACCCCCCATATGATATTTGTAGTACCCCATTCATGGTATTTGAGCATGACACGAGCTTATATTTGGTACAAAACCGATTTCGAGCCTTACTGTAATAATATATGTGGGGATTATCTTTCCTGTCAGCGTTTAAAAATAGGACCTAGCAAAGCAATTTGTACAAATATTTTGGTCTATTATGTTAAATGGAATATTGTTATCGTCCAAGGAAGAAATTTTAATTCCTTTCTTACATAATGCATAGGATCTACTTATTTCCATATTGTTTGGCTATTTCTTCACTAAAAAAAATTCTCTGCGAATTATTCGCACGGGACAACTGGTGTGTTATAATAGATGAAGTCATAATAATGTGTTTTCCATTTATTTTTAATAATGATAGGAATATTGTATCCTTTAAAAAGTTTATTTCACTATTTTAATTTTAATAGAAAATTTTCCAATAGTTTCTAAAAATGTATGCACTTATTTATATTTTTAATGTCGTGCCTTAAATTAAACTGATTTTACTTTTTGACCATTAACATAAACAAAAATAATGTAAAAAACTATGATCTAATTTAATTTTAAAAAAATAATAACATTGAGCTTACAATAGTACGAATTTTCAATGAGCAAGCGTACCGAGGATATACGAGGTTTAAAGTATGAGGGTTTGTCACGCAGCGCGCGGCAACACTGCACTGAAGAAACATGTCGTAGGTTTAAGTGGAATTTATAAAGAAGTTATAATCATCGCTTCATTAATTGTTTATAAGTTGCATACCGACGTAAGCTGTAAAGGTTTTTATTCAGCGCTGGTTCCGATCCGATCTCTGCCGTTCACTATCATTCCATGGCGGAATCACGGAATGAATCTCATACTACTTTCTTCGGCTATAAAGGATGTTGGACCTGATAAACAACAACCTGCATTGTAACATTACTGCCTCGAATAATTTCTAAAGAGAAACTTCAGGTCATTCTCCTCTTTACTTAATATGATGAATAATTTAGCTTAACGCATAACGAACTACATCTTCATTTTAGTATTTCTGCCGGTGTGCACTGATATGTTCTGCAGTTTTAAATTTTAATCTTGCTTTATTTTGAAAAGCAATTGACATGAAGTAGACCACGCACTTGAAATTCTACAGCACAGAATAAAGCAAGTGAAAATAATTGAGTTATAAATCATTAATTTGACTATTGGAGCATGATGTGTCTTATGGTTTCATCCAAATTTATCAGATTTCTGATGAGTTTCACCAGTTGTGAGGCATGAATTATTTAAACAATAAGATATCGAAGGAAATTTTTTAAAAATGACTCATGTGATATTATCAACAAACAAAACAAGCGCTATTATTTTTTTTAGATCTTGTTGGATATCAGGATAATAAAGTGCGAAATCATTTGTTTGAACTGAAGTTGAATCTTCGAAAGATTATAGTTATTACTATAATTACCATATGCATTATCTCTGCAGTTAAATTTCTGATTGATTCCGATAAGAGAATATTTCAAGAAAAATCTAACTCTTCTGATCTTTCGTTTACAAGTTTACAATACCTTTATCAATGCAGTCACACATTATTAAACGCTAACCTTTTTGGAATTGTTTTTCTATCGTCAGAACTTCCAATCGCGTTTTATTACAATTCAATTTTTATAATACAAAAATAATCACAAATATACCTTGTTACATGATTAAGTTATTATGGTTTACTATTATATTTACTTATTTGGTTTGTGTGATCCTTCGCTAGTGTCATATTTTTCATTTTTTTTTTAAACGTAAATATTATCTGGGGCAACACATTTCTTTGCTTTATAAAGTACATGAATTTACTTTTATACTACATTTGTACCCATGATTTACTGTTTCTTTTTATATGGCCAACCAACAAACAGGTTTTATTAAATTTATTAATTTTATTGTTTTAATTTTTGTTTAGTACATCTGAGTAATGGGTTCCAAGGTGAAATTGAAATTTACGGTCATGCTATTGTCTTTTTGTTATTTAATTGAAATTTATCTTATTGTGTCACGGATAATGATTAGTCTGTGTATTCTTATTTGAATACACAGACTAATCGGGCGTCGGATAAAAATTAGTAATTATTTTCCTCATCAGAACATGGGAACTTTCTGCCCTCCCATATATTATGATGGGGTGCAACCCATCCATTATCACTTACTTGAAAATAACTTATAAAAAGTTCAATAAACAGACTTAATAATTATTTGCTATTTAAATGCTATAAAATAAGTTTTGATTACAAATACGATGATATCATTTACATAACCGATGCACGATTTATAGACCTAATATGTTTAAAATTTTCTAATTGTTTTTAAGCTCTTAATAATAATGTTTAATGTTAAAAGCGATATATATTTTAAAACAAATAAAAATTCTTATTTTTATAATAAATCATAAGTTGAATAAACACATGATACAAATTCCATATGATACATTTTTAATATGACAATTTTCGTTGAGAAGACATATTCTTATAATTTGTTTTGACTGAAGTAAAAAAAAAAAATATTAAATATAAAATAGATGATTAAAAAAATTTATTTTTTAACAGATAATTTAATAGGGCGTTTTAATACACAAGAAAATTCTTGAAAGTTCATAATTATTTAAGGTTATGACAGATCAATCGATGACTACTTGCAATAATCCGACTGTATTTTCTGCAGTTAAAAAGAAATGGGTGGCCGATCGGGCTCATGCGTGCGCAAAACACGCGTTGCCCGGCAACCAAATGATTGATAAACTGAAGTTTATCAGATATAAAATAGTTACGAGTTCGCGTCCCGGTGCCTGGGGAGCTTTTTAACAGTGGCATTAATCCATTCTCCCTCTGGCTAGTGAAAATTCAGATAGCCTAAAAGGCGAAAAGAGTGAGAACAAAAAAAGTTAAGAAGACCTGAACGATTTTGATTTACGATCGTGCAATTCATTTATTTTATAGGTATGCTACCAATTCGTTAGTATAAATCAGCTGGCTTCCACGAAAGGAGATGGTGACCAACAAAAGGAGAGAATAGTGAAATTTTGATTTAACATGTTTGGGAAACTTCTTAATTAAAAAAAAAGCTGGTATCTTAAATTATTTCTCCATTTTTTGGGTTCATCTCTTGACCACAGTGTATATTTCAATGTATCCACACATGTTGTTTCCGAGGAAACTCGTTCATTTTGTTTCTTTTAATTTTTTCCTACCAGTTTTATCTTATCTTATGCACTATAAGGTTGAAATGTGTTCTGTGAATAAAGAAGAGTAACTTTAGTAGCTCTATTCTGATTAATATTAGCTTAGACCAACTAATATTTTTTAACGTTTTCCGCATTAATGGAATTTTAAACATGGTAAAAATTCAGTATTTTGTTTTATCTTGTAATGTGTTCGCTTATATATAATTTTGGATTAGGTTAGTCCTGAAACGAGTGAATCAGTTGAAGAGCTGTTACTATTCTCTCGATCTGCTCGCTTCGCTAGCTTCTCGGATCATTCTAATTAAATTCAATTGAACTGGAAGGATTTAGTTTAATCTTCATCACGGCCAACTTTTATTTGACTTGGTGACGGAATGCTCACAGTTGATTTCTCTTTACATCTGTTACTATTTAAACATAGATATCAGTGATTAACCATGGGTAGTTTATATCTTAGGCTTTAAAGATTTTAATGGGATTTGAAATTCGTTATTTTCAATGGCTGAAATGTTTTAGGCCTGACAAGCAGTAACCAAGACAAACGCTTGTATATAGTTCCATAATTATAACATAAAAAAATATGTCTTAATATCACAAATTCTGTAAACTTATATAAATCTCTTAATCTAAGATATTCTACTTACCGCCTGTTAAAGATATATTATAAATAGTAAACTTGATTAATGAAGTGTTCGTCACTACTTTCGGCACCTTTTCGGAAATGATCTGCTTGATATAAAAACCATTCTCGTTTGCTTCCTTCTGCATTTTTTATATCAGCAATGGAAGATACTTCTGTATAATAATGGTATTTCAAGATACTGGTTTAACATGTATTGAGTGTCTTATATGCACACATGTTCGTATTGTACAATCATAGGTCATTTACCTATACATCAAACATATGTTTTTTTTTTAAATAAATAATACATCATAAAACAAATTTTGTTTTCTAAGAGGAACCGTTAGAATCAATAGTTACTTTTTTGATGATTATCTACTTTTTAAATACTATAAAATATTTTTTAGTTACAGATACGATGTGATCGATTAAATAACGGAATCACGGAAGTTTTTTGGATACTTGACATGTTTACATATTCGCGATTGTTTTAAGGAGGCGAAAACTGTTTAAAATGATTTTGAACGTTATAAAAATAAAAATTAAAAAAACTAATAAAAATTCCTATATTTATAATAAATCATATGGTGAATAAACATCTGATTCAAATTCCATATGACATATTTATAATGTGATAATTTCTGTTGAGAAGAGATTTTGTCACAATTATTTTTATTTTCATTTAATACATAATTGAAAATAGAATAAATTATTTTAATAAAAATAAAGTTTGACATGGAAAAAAATATTTCCTCTTGAAGTCTTACGATTTATTTTTTATAAGAGCCTGAAGGAGTCAAACTCGTTTGAATTTAAAAACTCATGGCTCCAATGCGAGCTTATTATACTATATATTACAATTAATGTAATATTAATCTCTAAAAAAATCTTCCTTAAAAAAAATAAAATATTAGCTGTTGGATGAGTTTTTCAATATATATTTTTGAAAATAGTCAAGGGTTCTAAATTTCATCTACTAGCAGCTTTTTTTTTTTTAAATAGAATATTTTTATTTTTTTAAGATTATAATTCATTTTGAATTTCCAATCATACTATGCTGTAGGCGGATCGTTTCTAGGGACTCCGATAGTAAAAAACAATTGATAAACGTGATTAAAACAGATCATATTTTCAATAATTATTATATATAATCAGTTGTGGTAATTAATACATATTATAAAAACAAATGGAAATCACATGATTATATACCATGGTAAGAAGTTACAGTATCGCTCATAGAACCGTTTGAGATGGCCGATTCTGGTAAGTTTGAAGAACTTAAAATTTGTTTCTTTCTCTTTGATATTTAAAATCTATGTATGGTTCTAGGTGTTTTGTTTCTTTTAGATGGTTGGATTGGCGTTGGTTAGCACACACATATTAATTGGTTTGCATTATTAAAGGAATACTACTAATGTTTAATCAGTATTTTGTTGAACATAAAAGCAATAATAATTTTTGTGTGAGAATGACTTATAAATTTTCGGTAATACTAAAACAGTGAAAATTTGAACTCTTGAGTTTAGAAAATTTCAATATATTTAAGTTTTTTTTATTTTTATTTACCTGAATTGAGTAGCCTAATGCTCAAAACTTTTGAAATATTCTATTAAATACTGTTGTTCTAGAATATCCTCTAGACACCTACTCAGTAATTTATTTAAGGATTTCATTGAAATGTTTGATAAATTATTTAGTACTAAAATAGTTTGTTCTAAAATCATTTTATTTCACGTATAAAAATGGCATTTTCCACCAATTGTAATCATAAAACTAATCACAATTTCTTATTTGGTTTCTAAAAGCCTTTAATCCTCTTAATCTCAAATTCTTTTAATATTTGAAACTTGAAAACTCTATTGTCCTAAAAGGTTAATTACTCATTTTTGAGAACAAACGATTTTTTAGTGAATTTTAAATATCTGTAGGTATAAACAGCAACGTTTTATATAGGGAACATATATTGTTCTTAAGAATAACATAAATAGATATATGCAGAAAATAGAAAGGAGACGATTTTTAATTTTTGCGGAAAATATAAGATGAGAAAAAAAAAACTAATTATTTTAAATAGATGAACAATTTCCAAATTAATTTATTCATGAAACTAAGCATATTCATTAGCGTCTGTTGAAGTTAGGGATTCAAACTTTATACTTTATTTTTTTTTAATTAATGCACAAAATAATCTGTTGCAGAAGAGTGTCACGACACATTACCAGTGAAAGTTGAAATCGAAGAAGATCCATTCGGCGAAACTTCGGCAAGTTGTAAGGTTATTTGTTTATCTTTTTTTTTTTTATAATATTGTTCTCAGGATAAAAAAAAAAGTTTCAAAATATTGGTACAAAATACTGCATTAGTTGAAGTTCATGAAATAATATTGCTATTCTCTTTACTATCTGAAGGCCTATAGGTGAAAAATTGGCGACCAATGTTGTTTTCCTCATTACGTATTGAGGTAAAATACAATCAGTTAGATAAATGTACATCAATATTGTTTTGGGCACGAAATATTAACCCACCGATGTGGCCCACCGATAGGCGTTGAAGTCGTATTTAACACATCATTATTGACAACAAGTTGGCAAGCATCTTGGTATCATCAATACCAAAAGAAAATAAAAACTGATTTTTGGTAAACAATAAAATTTCGATGATTAATTTTTACGTTTTACGGAAAATTAGAATTCATAAAAAGTAAAATGACATTCTCTTTTCCCGTATGTCACCTCTTGATTCTCGTAATTCATCCTTATAGGATATGTAAAAGATATTCTATGGTCGCGACTTTGAAATACAAAAAACAACAAAATAATTTACAAGCCATAGCGGTCAGAAAGACCGACATCCAACCTAGATTGGTAAGCGGTAAGCAAGACTGCAGTCAAGTTGAGGATGACCGATATGACAACTCGCTATCAAGGAGTTTGTATTGTGTGATTTCTCCAATTAATTTTTCTTGATTCCATGTTTTTTTTATTGTCAAATTCTTCTGATCAAAAAGAATCGCTTCTAATGATCGTTTTTAGTCCAGCTTGACGAAAAACTAAGCGGGTACAAAGAATAAATAGAAAAGAAGAGTTCGAGTTTCAATAGAATAGAATAGAATAGAATAGAAAAATAATTTTATTCTGGGACGAAGTCCCTTCAGAATAACAAAAAAGTACAGAAATTAAAATTTTACATCTGGCCAGATAAAAACAAACATAACAAATTAAGATAATGATAAGTCATTAAAGAAAAGAAAAGAAAAAAATATTGGTTATACATACTATATACAAAATAAAATATAAAAATCTATATAAAAAACTCTTGAAACCATACTAAGATATTTAAAACTATGTACGATGTTAAAATATAAATAAACCCTTTTAGAAAAAATAAAAAATACAGAAAAAATAAATGTATATTCTTCTTAACAGTAAAATCTGTTTCTGTTGAAACAGAAAAAAAAAAAAAAAAAGAGAAAAAGAAAGTCGAATCTATAATAAGTATTCAGGTCATGAGCTATATGTGAATATGGTCTTATATATAATGTGTAATTTTACATAAAAGATTAGCTGGTGCCTGACTGTTTTTGGGACAGGAATTGGAATAGGAGGGTTTTGAATGTAGATAAGGATGAAGAATGTCGAATTTTGATTGGAAGGGAATTCCAGAAACTAACAGAACGTGCAATAAAGGAGTTTTGGAACGAGGCAGATCTGTGAGAAGGAATGTAAAGGTCGGAAGGTCGAGATCTTGTGGAGAGGGAGTGGACTGAGGACTTGAATTGGAGAAGGTTGTAGGCGTAGGAAGGACGATGATTGTTGATGATATGATAGAGGAATGTACCTAGGAAATATTGTCTTCGAATGGAGGGGAAGAGCCACTCTAACTCAGTGTAATGGTGAGAGACATGGTAGTATCTCGGGGCACCAATTACAAATCTCACGCAACTGTTCATTATTCTTTTCAGTCTGTCGCGGAGCTCCACCGAGAGTCCATCATACACCACACAGCAGTAGTCAAAGTGGGGGAAGATGAGAGAGGAAACGAGGAGTCTGCGCGTATGTTGAGGTAGGAGATGGCGGAAGCAATGGAATAGTTTGAGGGTAGAGACTGTCCGTCGGGAGATGTGAGAAATATGGTGACTCCAGGAGAGGGTTTGATCAATAAATAGTCCTAAATTTTTTACAGAGGAGTAGAAGGAGATTGGCTGGTCACCAAGGTTTAGTATGGGAAAGTCCGTATAGGATCTAAGGAGGGGCTTGGAACCAATGACAATGGCCTGAGTTTTTGAAGCATTTAACCTTAATCCGTTTAATTTTGCCCAGGCACAGATTCGATCTAGGTCTGCTTGGATCTTAGTAAATGCTACCAATAGCTCAGGGGGAGAAAAGGATAGGTATATTTGAGAATCGTCTGCATAAAGGTGGAGGGAACAATGGAGAATTGAGTCATGGAGGTCATTGATATAGGAACTAAAAAGGAGAGGAGATATGCTAGATCCTTGGGCGACTCCAGAGGATAAAGGCAGGTAGGCAGATAGTGGTTGATTAGGAATGGAGACTGCTTGGGTGCGTTGTGATAGGAAAGATTGGAACCAAGAGATGGAGCTATTGGAGAAGGAGAGTGATTTTAGTTTGTTGAAAAGGATGGGATGGTTAATGGAATCAAAGGCTTTAGAGAAGTCAAGAAGTATAAGGACAGTTAGTTGTTTATTATCTATTGCAGTCTGAACATCATTAGTAATTTTGATTAAGGCGGATTGTGTGGAGTAGCCGGGACGGAAACCAGATTGGAGAGGATCGAGTTGGTTAGACTTTTCTAGGAAATTGGAAACTTGGGATTGTACCAATCTTTCTAGGGGTTTTGAGAGATTGGAAAGAATTGAGATTGGGCGAAAGTCTTCGGGAGAGGATGGATTAGGCTTTTTATTTAAAGGGAGTACAATGGCTTTTTTCCAAGAGGAAGGGAATATTGAGTTCTGTAGGGAGAAATTGTAAATGAAAAGGAGAACTGGGAGGATTTCGGGGAGACATAATTTTATCAATTTGACAGGAATGCCATCTGGTCCTATGGAATTGGTGTGGGATTTCATTACTGCGGTTAGTAAGTCAGTCGGGGAAATGTAGGAGATAATAAACAATAAACTGTAATAATAATATTTTAATTTCTAAATTTTGATTATCGGGTCATATTTTGATGAATTTGATCATTTTTTATGTGGATTAGATCCTGCGCAATATTTAGAAAAGGCCAGATAGCCAAACTGTAGAGAGTAAATTATAATTGGTTAAGTTAATTCGGACTCAAGAATTGCATTAATACACGCTCTTTCACATTAAACATACTAAACTACAATAGATTTATGATGTAATATATTTCAAGTATCATACACTAAAAAAACTCTTGTAAAGAACTATTATTTGTTCTGTCTCATCAACCATTAAATTTCGTACAGACTTTATTATGAAATCCCAGTGGTTTTCTGCCGCACCGAACTAGTAGTACAGAAGCAAATCCAGGACGAACCGAAGTCAATAGATTTTATAATTTTTTCAACTTTAGCTCGACACTTTAAAGAGAAATTATCCGATTATCTGTATTTATTAATATTAAGACTTTTGTTTATAATAAATTCAAATCATTCCGCGAGATAAAAACTAGCAAGGTGTTTTATTCTATTTTATTACTCATTAAATCAGACGAGTCCTCAAGGTCAGATTCGGTGCTCCAGAATCTTTCAAACAGTTTTAAAAAAAGTAACCTTTCATATATAACCTTGATATTCTGTAAAACTATATTCGGTTGACTATTTCGTAATTTTGAAATCCACACGCTACTTTAAACAGAAATTAATAATTTCAATATAGCACAAGCTACGTTTTGACATTACTGGAAGAATATATAAATGTTTACTTTAATAGCTAAGGCTAAATAATCCACGATTTTTATTACAATTTATAAAACACTATTATCCTGTTCGTGCTTTGATTAACTTGATTTTAATTCCAATGTTCGTGTAAACAATATTAGTATTAAGTATTCACTTACGGTGTTTCGATGAGAATAGCGCTTTCGTTTTCAGCCAATTCGACGCGTGAGCTTCGAATTTTACACATAAAAATAAATAGTAAAGTATATTATGTATATATTTCGTAGCACTGCGATATTAATCGAGATTATTAAAAATACGTTAGTAACTGTTTCACCTGTAATTTAACTGACACTATATTAATTACGGTTGCTAAGAAACCAGATGAGTTTAAAATAAGCATACGTTTGTTAATAATTGAGCCTTTCAGTTGACAGAATGACGAACTCCAATTTTAACATTTTTTATTATTAATTTAATTGATACTTCTAGTGGGAACATTTATACCATTATTCAAAGTTCTTGAGTCGATAAGAGAGCTGGTGATGAGAAAGGGATTGATGTACAAACAATAACAGCAACGGCATGTGCTCTACCGTTAGGATGGTCAGTACGGTATCTTATCTATTGAGGTGTTTTTAAAAGCTGTTTTCTGGTCAGTCGAGTTTCCGTATTTAGTGCTACGTCGATGTTCTTGTCCAATAGTAAAGTTGTTAGCTCGTCAACGTGATTTCTAACATCATTCCAAAGGAGAATGGACATGGGTTTTGGGATGTGAGTCAATGAGGATTTTTTAAAGAAGGGATGAGGTGAGCTACGAGATTTGTGAGGAGTGATATGAGTGGAGTAACTAGGGATTCGATATCGGTGAGGAAAGATGCTAACAAACTGGTGAGATCTGTTGGATTTGAAGGAGGAGGGATATGATGAATTTGTTGTTAATGGTTTACTTATATTAGGAAGAATAGGATTTAAAACATTGCATGACAATTTTTCGGAATAAACGTTGATACCTAATCAATTAAATATATCACATCAATAATCACTAAACTACAGTAAATGTATTTGAGGTTATGAACGTATGTTTAATACATCAATAAAATGATTTTATATTTTACCTTTTCTTTAAAAAAAGTATAATGAAATAGTTTTTTTAACAACGCTATTGTCTTGATTAGGTGGATTTTCTATACTCTCTCCAAACGTAAACATATTTTTTAAAGTTTAGATTTAATTAATAAACTTCATTTAATTTCCTTGAAAACATGTGATTTACGTTAAATATTATCAGTTTTCAAAAATTATTATTTATAATTTGTTTGCCACTCTCCGTTACCTTCTACAACTTTCTATATTATATATTGTTTTTTCTAAAATTCTCCGTTTTCCAACGATATATTATAAGTATACCTTCTGACTAATATTTCCGGATATTCATTTTCGACCCGTATAAGCATTTTTATTTATTTTTCTCCTTTATTCGATTATCAAATTCTTTCAAAACTTATATATAGCATATTTTCGTAACTTTTAATAATGAGAGATAGTTGATTATTTAAAATAAATCAGGTACTTTAGAGGAAGACGCATATGAAAATTGGGCATTTCAGCCCTGTAAAGTGGCATCAATGGGGATAAGACATAAATGTATTAAAGACCACTTAATTATACAATGACACACCGAGATGGATCAAAATCGTTAGAGGCGGTTTTGAGAAAATTGTAAAAATGTGTTTCAGCGTTCATATAAAGTGGCACTTCCGGTTAGCCGATTTTAAGGAAAAATTTGCTGTCACAAGTACCTATCTTAAATACGTAATATAAGTTTCGTACGACTTTTCGTTTTTGAGCTAGACTACTAACATACACACACAGACCATTTTGCGGGATTTGGTTATTTGGACTCAGTGTAACACAAAACGTGTATTTCCGTTGAAAACTCAGATTCGGAAATTTTCACGATGGCAATACTTACCCTTACTATATATTACATATATGTTAATAATGGTTAGGCTTTCTTTAAGAAACAATCACAGACAATAAGAAACGTTTATTGCGAAATAACACTACAAACATAGAAGCCATATCGAGGGTGTAAACATATTACAGATCATTGACGTCACATCTGACAGTGTTGCCAGTAACAATGTTGTATGTAGTATATACAATAACAAATAACCTTAATTAATTAATCCTAACAATATATACATACATGAAAGTAATAATCATATCCCCCCGAAATTTCTGGAAAAAAAGTTATGAAGGAAAAGAAACTTTATTTGTGAATAACTCAAAAAGTATGCATTTTTTCTTTATTGTGCCCATGATTATTAGAAAGATTACTAAATTACTCACAAAAAAGAAAAAAAAAGATCGGTTACAAATTTTTAATATTTAAACAATTTGTACCGACCGAAGGAGCAAAGTGTGTTCATATATTTTTTAAAGGAGAAACCGAGTTGAGATTTGTATTTCGCTGCTCGAAATACCATTTAATACAAATTTTCATAGCGACGGAAAATAAAAAAAAATTACACAGTTATCCCCTTTGATTTTTTTTCTTTCAAAAATCATAAAAAGTTTGATCACTTCAATATGCTTCCACTTTTATTATTTTATTTGTACCCTAAAGATTATAGCAAAGCAATTTGTACAAATATTTTTGTCGATTATGTTAAATGAAATATTGTAATCGACCAAGGAAAAACAATTAATTTTTCCCTCAGATAATACATAGGGTCAACTTATTTCTATATTGTTTTACTACTCCTTCACTAAACAAAACTTTCTAAACAAAATGTAGTCGTACATTTTAGTTTATTATTGGAGAATTAAAGCACATTTCTCAATTTAAATAATATTCAAGCTCAGTAAAAGCATAAGATTAACTACACAATTAAGATCTGATATTTTAGTAGCGTTAATGTGTTTAAGTACTGAAGACATTTAACCTACAGAATATCAACCTGTTCTTGCAGAGAGCAAAGATCGAAATTATTCTGCGAGTTCGCCTAAAAAGTCCGTATCTGGTTCTTACTAAAGAATAACTCTTTTTATGACATCAACAACCAACATTTGATAATTTTAACCTGCATTCTGATTATTATTTTTTTTTTTCAGGGAATAACTGGCAATCCAATGAAGTATATAATGTGTCTCCATCTTTCCGATTCCGGGAATGCAGTAAAGTGTATAGGGAGAGTTCGATCAGTTCAGTTACCATTAATAAAAAGGAAGAGGAGATGGAACAAGAGAATGATAGATATATGGCTTCCAAAGACACAGAGGCTGGAAAAGAAAACGGAGAGGTGCCAGGCAAACTTTATACTTGCAGTTATTGCATGAAATGTTTTAAACAGAAGAATCACCTGATGGATCATCTGAAATTACACCTGAAAAACATTGTGTACCAGTGTAACGTATGCCAGATGATATTTCCAGATTCTTCAGCGATGGCCGCCCATAGGAAAACTCACACGCAAGGCAAGAAGTCTTGTCAGGTTTGCGGCAAGATATCTCGGCAGGTGTCACAGGCGAATAACTCCAGAGATTCGACCTACAAATGCAGTGCATGCCAGAACCGTTTAGCCATAAGGCGCTTTGCGGAAATGAATGGACAGCATATGTACTACAGTGAGAACCGTGACCGTAGGCTGACGTGCCTCCTCTGCAACAAGAAGTTCTCAGTCATTTCAGACCTGACTAAGCACTTGCGGGTGCACACAGGAGAACGACCCTTCCTCTGCCAGCTGTGCCAAAAGGGATTCAAGCAATCCTCCGCCCTCACCTCCCACCTCAGGACACACACAGGCCAGCGACCCTATGTCTGCCAGCTCTGCTCCAAGGCGTTCACCCAGTCCTCAGCCCTCAACACCCACCGGAAGATACACACCGCTAGTTTTCTATACAAGCTCAATAATCAACCTGCATCAGGGTAGTAAATCCGTTAAACAGCTCATCACATTTAAGAAGTTGATAAACAAAATAGTGTAGATTTTAACATTGCCTTTAGTAACTTTATATTTTATTGTATATTAAGGTAAAAAAAAAAAGGTGAAATAAAATGTTTTCATTGACTTTTTTAAAAATATATATTTATACAAATAAGAAATAATAAAATGAATTATTTTAAAAAAATACACAAGAAGCAAGCAACTATCCAATTTTAAAATATACTCATAAACGACTTCTGTAATGCAGAAACTCGGCCGCTAGATTCTGTTGGTTGGACTTGGCGAGGCTGAGAGGCGTGTGGCCACTTACTTCGACGGCCATAAGATCAGCTCCTCGATCCAGGAGCAGCCCGATCACTGAGAGGTGGCCAAACAAGGATGCACAGTGGAGAGGAGTCCTCAAGGATTCGCCCCTGCAGTCCACATCGGCCCCATTGCTGAGGAGTAGTCGAACGATCTCCAGCTGCCCAGCGCTTGCTGCAACATGGAGTGGACGATTACGCTCCCTGTTCATGTGATTGATGTTGGCTCCAGCCGATACAAGTACCTCTGTCATGAGGAGATGCCCTGTCACAGAAGCCACAAAAAGCGGGGTTTCTTCCCAATTATCCAAGGAGTCTACATTTGCACCCCAGTGTATCAGCTCTATTGCCGGTTGGATTCTTCCAGCCGAAGCAGCCACATGCAATGGTCTCTTCTTCATGACACCTTCGTGATTTACATCTGCTCCAGCATTGATAGCGATGACAAGGGATTTGACATCATCCTTTTGGATCGCACTGTACATTAGTTCATTCGCCATTTCCTAAGAATCATAGAAAAGATACATGTTTAGAACATTATGCTTGTTTACAATTTATCTCTCATACTGCACCTATCTATTATACTGACACAAGAGAAACAACGAACCAATGACTATACCTTAGAAATTGGCTGCTTCGTGTTTGAAACTGGTACTGATTTGTCAATTATATCTTTCATCTTATCTTCACCCTACAAAACAAAATTGAAGTTTCAATAACTGTCCAATCTTATCTATGATTTATAACTAATTATAAATTATCATAATTAATAGCTAAAAAATTCTTCCCTAATGAAATAAACATATGATTCTCGCAAGAATTAAACAAAATAATCTTAAGCAAACTTACATAGGAATATTTAAAATTTGTAGTTTTTTTTGTTGTCGAAGGAAAATTCATAGAAGAAAGTAGTCCAACCTTTAATATAAATAAATATATTGTCACTATTATCTATGAAAGGTAAGAAATAAGATCTGTTAATAAATAATATATATAAGTATACAGATGGAAAAATTAAAGATTCAACCGACCAACAATCTTAAAATAAGGACTATACTAAACTCAAAGCACAGTTAGATCAGAACCTTAAAAGTAGACACTGTTATTAATTTTAAAAATTTCATAGATTTTTAAATTAAAATATTGGTACTCCAGATCTCTGTCTCAGTAATTGAAATGATTTATTAGGTTTTTCCAAACATAAATAAAATTTTATAAACATATTATAATATATATAAACCTCTTTTTGTGACTTTGATGAATGCATACAGTCACTGGAAAAAATTGTTTTTGTGGTTTCTGCCAGATCCTAAAAATGATAAAACAAAATGAATTTAACTTCAGAAATTTAAACAATAATCTGAATAAAAATAAAGAAATATAAAATCAAATCAACATGATAAATGAAAAAAATCTATATTTTGAAAAATAATCATCAATTTAATAATATCCAGTGAAATCTCCCATCTAAACCGATTCAGATTTCAAGAGTGTTAGCAATTTCAATTTATAAATATATATATTTTTTAATTTTTGTTGGCATTAACACTTTTGGCCGCATGATTTGGTCTTCTTCAAACATTTACAGTTCACAGGAAACACAAGCTGGAGGATTCCATGCTAACAACTTTGGTTTTCACAGTGCAGGAGTAGGCTACTTAATTATTCTATAATTGGACCATTTGGGGTCTCTTTGGTAATATTCTTCCCAATGACATATTGAAGCACGTGACTTAAAGGACAGTGACAAATTGGTATTGATCATGGGTTATGACTTTCTCAATATTCTTCGTGATTGCATTCAAGGACAGCTGAATCATCCACATATGCTAGGATTTTATGTTTAATTCAAATGTTCACTCCTCCATTTTCATGTAATATTCTTGCCACCTTCTTCAGGGCTATGTTGAACAACATCGGTGAGACCATCTCCCTGCCACAAAACTGTTTCATTTAACTTCAAAGGTCTCAGATATTTCTCTTTGAATCAGGATTTTACATTTAGGATCACTTGTACATGCCTTTGCATAATTAAATTTCCTGGGAATTCCTCGTTTTACAAAGTCCTTAGAAAGGTCTATTTCCTTATCATTACTTGGTCAAGATGCTATTAGAAATGTAATTTCCAGATGTTTATTATCTTTTCTTTTGATACTATCAATTCACCATCATTTCCTTACATTCGTTTCACATCTTAATCTTTTTTCCCTGATGTCTGTGTAGAATTTACATATATTTCAAGCCTGACACTGTTTTGAACAGCTTGCAGCATAGCTTAGTTATTATAAATGTGCACAGATAAATATTCATGCCTGGCTGTAGGAAAAAAATATTTTTTGTTGGGAGACCCAGAGTCAATAACTTATGACCCTGCAATGGTTTGGAGGAAAGCTGGCCAGATGGATTTCAAATTAGTTAAATCCAAAACTTTAAAAAGTACCTTCTAAGTGAGGTGGTTTATGTTTATCATTTTAAAAATATTTTTAATCACTTAATGCATCTCATAATTTTATTTTTAAATATCTATTTTTTTATTTAATATTGTGTACTCACCGGTATGTAATCAGTACAGATGGCATTGTAATTAAAATTAATAACAAAATTCACCTTATTGAACTGAACAAGAATAAAATAAAATCACTTTTATAATGAAAAGATACTTAGGTAACAATTATAATGCACTTAAGTAATATGGTACTAATAAGAGATATAAAATCTAAGGGATTTACAAGAATATAAAAGTGAATTAAAATTATTTGAAAAATATATGGTATTATTCATTAATATGGTATTATTCAGGAAATTGACATATTGTTTGTCTTACCTTTTTATCTAATTTTCTCATTTCTGCAAGGAAATCTGGAAATATATCCCTTTCAGCAGTAGTGGATTCAAATACAACAGGTGTTATTCGTGTCGGTTGAGCAATTGGAAGAGTTCCAGAAGCATTAATGGATGTAGATTCGAACAGGTTACCAGTTCCAGCACTCAGTCTTGAATCCTTTCCTGACTTTTGAAAGAGATGCAATTCAAATTAGAGTTTATCTTTAAAACCAGGATTTGAAATGAAAAATTAACTTTTATTTTTAATTAATTTCAATATGCCTGCAGTTTTTATTTCAAATTGTTTTTCTGTTCTTTTGAAACTAGAACTTTTTCCCATAGAACTTTTTAATAACACAGTTTTAATAGATCTATTAAAAATATTCAATTTTTTTTTAATTTCTAGAAGCTATAGGAAGAAATAAATAGAAACAAATATAAAAGATTAAAAGTAAATTTTTACCTCAGCTGTTGTCGAAACTTGTGTAGTTGATTGTTCCGGTTTAAATGAAACTTTGGGTTCCTGGAAAAACAAATTTAGGTCATGACTACAAAACAGTATTGTATTTAAAAAAAAAAATATATATATATATATATATATATATATATATATATATATATATATACATATTAATATATATTTATATATATAATATTAAGGGGACATCGTCCCAGAATAAAGTTTATTTTTATACTTCTGTTTCTATTTCTATATATATCATTGATTGGTACATACCCTAAATAAATAATCATTAATAGATATAGGAATTTTTGTTTGATTCTGTGAAGGCATTAGAAGAGATCCATAAGAATTATTAGGTGTGGTGTGAAGAGATTTGTAGCGGTCCTAAAAAAAATATAAATATCAAAACTTGGAACTATTATGAACCACATTGAGGTTGGAGATGTAGAATAGATAATAGATAGAAATTATATATATATATATATATATATATATATATATATATATATATATATATATATATATATATAATTTCTATCTATTATCTATTCTACATCTCCAACCTCAATGTGGTTCATAATAGTTCCAAGTTTTGATATATATATATATATATATATATATATATATATATATAAGAAGGTTTTCTTTGATTCTGTGAGAGAATTTAAAATGATCAAAGGAACACAGAAGCAAATAACCAAGCAAAACAATGATTAAATATTCTTCCAAAGCATTACCTCAGCTATGATTTGATCTTCTGGAAGAAATTCATAGGCATTGAACAGCATATTTTGTAGTCCTTTTCCAGTTGCATGATTATTCACAGGCTGCGATTAAACACAAATGTTATTAAAATTAAAATTTGTCATTTGAATCAACAATAAATTATTTTGTGGATTATAATATTTAATTATGTAGTTACTGAAAGGTGTTTTAGATAATTTTCTGCCATAAATAAAATTTCCTTGGATTACCTTTTCCTTTGGATGAATTGATTGAGAGGTCAACGGAGGGAGCTTCAAGGTTTTAACCATGTTCTGAAAAATGTAGATTAATATTACATTATTAAATGAACTAAAACATTTCTACAACTTTTTTTGAAGTAAAGTTTTCATAGTAAAACTTGTTTAGCAAACAAAATTAAATACAAAATATTTTTTGGGTTATGAACCTGATCTACGGTCTGAATTCCTATAGTTGACTGTTCTGGTTTTACAGAAACCCCCCCCCGGTCCTGATAAAAAAAAAAATAAATATTGTAATTTTGAAGTTTTATGGTACTTTGATAAAAATAAAATAAAAAGTACTTTACATAAACTATAAGCCCAGCTTGTGTCTCTGTTGATGTCTTTTCCTGTAAACATTTAAATTAAAAGTTGAAAGTTGTAATAATGTTCTCTTTATTATACTAAATTAAATCATGGATCTTATTAAAGGTAATTGAAAAGTGACATACTTCACTAAAATGGGCACTGATGGTTTGTTATATTTACATTTGAATAGATAAAACTAATATATCTGATTAATAATATTTACTTGATATAATATTGAACTTCTATAAATAAAAAATATATACTTGATTTTCAAGTTGTAAAATAATGTTAGAACATCTTAAAGTTGAACCGTTATGATCAAGATACTAAATAGATTAATGATAGTTCAATAAATGCGATAGAAAGATCATAAATATATATAGAGAAGTTTTTCATTAATTCTGTGAATGGATGGTAGGAAGTGTTCCATAAGGAAAAACACAAACAAATAACCATTTATAAAAAAACAACTAAATATTGAAGTATTACCACATCTTTAGTCTGAACTGGAAGAGATCTATACTAATTAACCACCATAGTTTATATTTCATTTCCAGTTCCAGATGCATTTGTGGGCTGTGATTAAATGTAATTTTCATTTAAATTCAAATTTGTCATTTAAATCAACAGTATATTGCTACGAGTATTATGACAGTTTATTATGAAGTTATTGAAAGGAATTTCAGCTATTTTATACTTTAAATAAAAATCATCTTGAGATCACCTTTTGTATTGCATATATTGAATGGGAGGTCAAAGTATATGGGTTCAACGCTGTTATCATGCTCTGAAAAATATTGATAAAGAATTACTTTATTTTTACTGAATAATTTTTCAAAAGTGATATATATATATATGTAGTAACACAATTAATTCCTTAACCAAATAAAAATAATATATATATATATATATATTTTGTTTTTTCTTATAATTTACCTGATCTGTGGTCTGAACCCCTGTAGAATACTGTTCTGGTTTAACTGAAATACCACGATCCTGAAAATAAAAAAAAAGTAAATAAACAGTATAGTATCTTAATAGGAAGAAAAACCAACAACATTACATGGACTATGATCCCAGCTTGTGTTCCGGTTGATGTCATTTCCTGCAAAAATTTTGTAGTTAAAAGTTGTAAAATTTTATGGTTAAAAGTTGTGTTCTATGTTAAGTTATTTCATGGAACTACTTACTAAAGGCAATTGAAAACTGACATGCTTCACCAAAGTGGTTTTTGATTCCTTAGACTGCAATTCCTAAAATATATTTATAATACATAGTAGATTACAATCAATTTTGTAAAAATATGAATATACCAATTTTATTATTTTCCTTTATGTTTATATATTGGTTATACAACATTCTTTTATTATATTAGTATTATTGTTTCATTATAAATTACTCTATGAAGTGTTTGGGGGAAAAAATGTCTCTAATTCAGTTGGTTTGTTAATAACCCTCCAGGCTGGCACTCATGGGTTGCTCTGCCCTAAGGCTGGACCAAGCCTTTGTTGAACTATTATTTTTAAAATTTTATGGAAACAATTGATTTTCCTCAAATATTAAACTGCAGTTTTTTTTTTTTAAATGACAGAAACGCCCATCTCAAATTATGTTTCTATTCCGTAATGTTGAAATGATTATAGTAGTAAGTTACACAACTTATTTAATATTGATTTATTAGGTACAGATTTTTTTTTTTGTCTCTCGATATGTTTCATGACAGTTTATGGTAGGGCTGAAGCCCTCCCCCCCCCAAAATGGTAAAATGTAACCATGTTTTACACAAAAAAAATATTAAAAACTATCTCTTAAAGTATTCTTGTTCCTGTAATTACATTTAATAGGACTTTAAAAACCACTTAAGTACCATTTGATATAGGTAGTTAATTTAATTCTTCTTTTTTCTAGTTAATTATTGGTATATGTAGATGAAAAAAAATCTTTCAGGTTGAAGCCCCCGCAAAATTAAATCCTGAATCCAGTTCAGAATTAAATTAGAAATTAAATCCTAGTGGCCAGTGCCTGTAGCGAATTTCAAAAAGTTACTGTTCTGCATGAAGAATCATACTGAGGAATTATCAGTGGTGGTAGTCCCATGTTATGATCCAAAACACGCAGAATAAAATATAAATTAATATATTTACTTTATGATAAATTTTAATAACTTGGAGTTATACTTCATAAACTGATACTTTGGTACTTTTAAAGTTTCACCGCTAACAGTTCAGTGCTCCAGAATAGTACTTCGAGTAAAGACTGTTGAGAACGAAAGAACACTTTCCTTACCATTGGGCACTAAAATGTTAATAAGAGTTTAATTTTATTTTTTATCATTATTATATTGTGCAAAGGAACATTTTCCCATTTTTCATTTATTTTCAATCATAATCACAGATGAAAATTGTTTATTATATGTAATACAAAGAATGTAGATGCTACAAGTAATTGGGAAATCATATTTCCAGAAGCCAACATTTTAGTATATAAAAATACTGTGCTTGATTCTACCTCTTTACCAGACTAAAACTTAGCCTAACAATACTTATATTAAGTATTAAATAATCTTAAATATGCTAAAATCCGGAAATTACTTTTGCATAGTCAACTTGTGTTCCCTCAGATACACAAGTGTTCATTGTAGAAAGGAGTATTTGGCCTGCTGTGTCGTCAGCCTCCGCAAAACATTCTTGAATGCGATACTTGACATCCAGGCCGGCGAGTGTTGCAGCTACTGGCCAAGGGAACTGCGTCCCGTCGAGCAGCAGCTTCCCAAGGGTAGAAAGGCAGGAGGCAACATCTCCTCTGGGAAAGCAGAAATCGTCTCTCAGCCAGACACTCAAGAATGAAGACTTGATCTGTGGAACTGTAGAGGAGACTTCTAGTAATGTCTTGATCAACGGCAGGTCTCTCTCTCGTAGGGCATACAGAAATGATATTATAATGGTCTGTGCAGTAGTCAACTCTGCTGCCGTGTCCTCGGACGAGTATATGGAGGACTGGGTGGCGTACTGGATGGCAGTGATTATCCTGTTATCGGAGCTTAAGGCCTTAGCTCCTGAAGTAAGCCACATTTTCTCTGTAATCAAGAATAGCATAGTAAAATATTAAGTAAGTACATTTCTATTAATTAATAAGTCCTATACATAAATCTATTAATCCAATCCTGCTGCATCTGCTAAATTTAGTGTGGAAGCAAAAGAAAATACCGAAAGATTGTGAAGTAGCCATAATCATCTCTATCTTTAAGAAAGGAGATAACAGAGATTGTAACAGCCATGGAGACATATCAGTATTAAGCTTAACAAGTAAGATTTACTCTAAGGTCTTAGAAAATAAAATAAGAAGAAGAATCAAAAAATTACTTGTAGAAGAACAATACGGCTTTTGGGAAAATCGTAGCAGAAAAGAAAATGTCGGTGTGCTTTGTTGACCTTAAAAAAGCCTTGATGGGGTGAGAAAGTCTGATATATTGGAGGCCTTGAGAGAAAAAGGGATTGATCAAGGTCATGTCCTGACAGTTGAGAGTCTCCTCAAGAAACATAGTAACATTTGCCAACTGCACTTCACAAGAAATCAAAACAACAATTAGAATCCGGCAAGTTTGTGTAATCTTAGTCCACTTTTGCTTATTCTAGTAATGGACTCAGCAATAAGGGCTAAAGGAAAAATGCGGAAATTTCACCTGGGATATGCCAACCTGAGATCAGTGAGCCTCTCAATACTTGCATTCGCTGATGACGTTGTTATTTTTTCGGACAGTGACGGAAATCTTCTGTACAATATTAATAAATTAAAAAAAGAATTTCAGATGATTGATACGATTGCTAACTCTGTAAAAACAAAAGTAATGGGGGTTGGGAAGAAGCCTAGTAGAAATATGCGCGTCATCAGAGTCGAAGACAAAATCCTTGAACAAGTAGAAAACTTCAAATACCTGGGCGCACACTTTAATGAAAATGGATACATCGATTCAGAGGTGACTGGGCGATTCGCTGCTGCGAGCAGGATGTTTGAAGCAGTTGAAAGAGGTTTTCTAAACAGGCGAGAGGTGGAAAAGAAAACAAAGGTGGCTGTTTTCAGATCGACATTTCTGAACATTTTAACATACTCTTCAGAATCATGGACGCTGACAAAGAAACATCAATCAAGGATACGAGAGTCAGAAATGAGATTCCTCCGAAAGATTCAGGGGAAAACAATAAGAAATCGAGTACGCATCACCATCAGGTCGAACCTCAATATTAAGCCGGCCAATGCCGTGATAGAAGAGAATCGACTGATATGGCTAGGACATCTTCTGCGAATGGAACCGAACAGGATAGCTAGCGAAGCCTATCGAGCTAAAGTAGAGGGCAAGAGAGGAAGAGGACGGCCTAGAAGGAAGTGGGAAGATGAGGTGAAGAGCGACTTCCAGAGAAGAGGTCTTCAATAGAATAGAAGGCGTCTTGTGGAAGACAGGCAGAGCTAGAGAAAACTCTATTCAAGTTCAAGAAGATGGATTATGATGATGATAATGGTATTATACCCTTTTGTTTACTGATAAGTAGTGTCGACAGAAAGTTCAATATTGGTTAGAAATGTTGCCTTTTTTTAATTTATAATTTTTGCCTAGTCTAATTATAGAAATACATAATTTGTATTTCATAAATGTTTCTATTATACTAAACCATGTATATAAAACATAGTAGCTGACTCAACTCAACCTTCAATGAACGAACGGAAGATCACTACAGCACATTAATTACGGTTGATTGTTGTCTTTATTATTAGTAATTTTGACATTTCATGCTCCAACATCGAAAAAGCGGGTTACCAACTTGATTTATTAAAAGCATTAAAGAATATATTTATTTTGCCGTGGAGAGAAATCAAGGTTTCTGGAGAGAGTGTACCAGGATTCCCGTCAGATATTAAAATAATCACTAAAAGTCAACCTAGTCCTTTATGTACTCCTCTGATAGGCAATCCAATGATTGTCAACGATTTATTATACAATCGTAAAAGTAAAAACAATTTATTAACAATATAAAATAAAGTTTAAAAAAAGAAAAGATTTCTTAATTATTAAGTGATATATGTAATGTTATCTTTATTTTATTTTAATGTAAATTTAAAGCTTGAAAAAAAAACCTTGTAAGCCGGGCCTTCGGAGCTGCAGCACCCCCCTCCCCCCCCCCACCACTCTCCCATCGTGCCTGATAAGACATATGTGTGTGTGTGTCTGATAAGACATATGTCAATCCTCATGGGCCGCAGTTGAGCTGAAGCTCCTGTTGATGTACCACCTTAGCATGTTATTTTAAAAGTTTACAATAAGAAATCTTTTCTTTTAATATAGTTATACATTAAATAACCAGTATCCATGGAATATATCAGAGTAATTTTCAAAAGTTGTTGAGAAATTTATAGAATTAACAATAATTAGAAATTATCAGTCCCAATATACGGGATATCCCGTAAGTAGAGGGAAATTTTTATAGGAGTGATAGCAGGTCCTGAGTGCTGCAAAAAAGTTCATACAAGTAATGGGCCAATTTTCAGTAGAAAAGTAGGAAATCCAAGTTTTGTGTTTTTTTAAACAAGCCATGTTTTTTTTTGAGTAGGAAACGATAAATAAATAAATATTTAATTTAAACAATTAACAATTTCTTCACGGTAGCTAAATAAAATTTGCTTCAAACGAGGAAAGAGTATGTCATTGTTAAAACCATTTACAGATGACACAAACTAAGTCAAGTTTTGTTTTTAAAAAAAATATAAATTGTTTGCGTTTTTTTTTTTTTTTTTTTACCATCATCTAACTATACTACACATACCCCACTTTTAGAAAACTTTCTCTTTCAATTAGCTTCAAGTCCATAATAATTAAGTGGAGGTTTATTAAGGAAAACATTGAGGTTCAACTCCAGTTGTGTATAAAAATTATGTGATTTTTCATCCGCTTTCCCATTTGCAGCATAAATTACTAAAATTAATTCTAGCAAAGCTTTTATTTTATGATTTTTCATGATCTTGGATGCAATATAATAAATATAATTGAATCAATAACCATTTTTTTATATATCAAAAAAATTTAAAGATAATGATTTTTTCAAATATTTTTTAGGTATAGTGGTTATGAAAACTGTGTTTTTCACCCAGATATATATTAAACGAACTGATTCGTTATTATAATTGTACAACTAAATTTACGTTTTAAATAAATAAACCTGCTCATTGCTTCAATTATTTTCATGAAAACGTAAATTTTAGGACTTGAAGTATTTAGTTTTTCACTTATAAATACGGATCATTTCGTATAGTAGAGAGAGATCTGTGAGAAAAACACAGTTCACAACCACTTTACCTCAAAAATATTTTTAAAATCATTATTTTAATTTATTTTTGTTTTATAAAAAAAGAAGTGTGTTGATGTAATTATGTGTATTATTATGCCTCCAAGACCACGGAAAACCATGAAACAAAAACATTGCAACAATTAATTTTAGTTATTTTTGCTGAAAACACGGGTACTTTTAAGAAAAAACAACATATTTTTTAAACATAACTTGAGGTGAATCTCAATTTTTCTCTCCACTTAATTAATATGAACGAGGAAGTTTTTCTAAAAGTGGAGTATCTTTAGAATAGTCGTAAAAACATAAACAAAAAAAAATTGAGAATGACTTTTTTAAAAACAAAACTTCTCTTAGTTTAGCCTCTCAAAAGCCACTTTTAAATGGTTTTAACAATGACAAGCTCTATCTTCGTTTGAAGCAAATTTTATCTAATTAACAGTAAAACAATCGTCAATTACTTAAATTAGATATTTATTTAGTTATTGCTACCTATTCAACAAAAATTATGACGCTTAAAAAAAAAATACTAAACTTGGATTTCCTACTTTGGTTGGGCCATTGTTTATATGAACTTTTTTAGAGCTCATAAGAAAATAATTACGGAACAACTGTATATTGTTGTACATTTCTAAGTAAATACTTCTATTTTACATGAAAATAAAGTGAAGCATACAAAGTTGTGTTGAAAGAGAGAAAATCGGATAAAAATGAGAAATTACCTTAGCTAAAATTGTAAAACAACTGAAGAAAACACTCATCAGATTTACAGAATACCAGAGAAACACTGTGACGAAAATATCATACTATCGCATCACTTCAACTGACAATGACTAAAGAGAAAGGAGATAAGGCTAATAAAACAAATATTGCTTATCTTTAAGTGCTATATTTATTCTTATGTTTACATTTCGTTCAGTACAATATAATTTATTTGTAATAAAAATAGCTCCTCATAGCTACGTTTTAAGAGGCCTAGAAGCTCCTACTTGCGAAAAATGTAACAATACACCGCAAACTGTGAAACACCTTCTAGTAGAATGTTCCCAATTCGAAAGGCTCAGAGAAAAAATAAAACTAGGAAAAACACTAAACGAAATACTAAAAGACAATCTCTATCCTGTTTAAATTTTTAAAGATTATCAACTACTATAACAGAGTTTAAATTATATAGAAAACGCCAATGACCCTTTAGGGTAGAGGCGAGAAAAAGAGAGAAAAAAAAAAATTATTTGTTATTTTTCTAAAAAAAAAAATCAAATAATAAAAAATTATCAATAAATTTTTAGTATTTTTATATTGAAATTTAACGTTTATGAGGAATTTATAAAAGTATCGCCTTTTCAAACTGCCAACCTTCGAGAGTGAGGTTTTTTTGTTAATGGGAAATTAAAATCAATGCTGACTCTAGTCATAATTAAAGGAGAAAGGTGATAATTCAACTGTTTGATATCAGCCGATCCGATAATCTCAATAGAAACGCTTGTTCCAGTGTTGATAAAGATTAACATCGATATAGCACATCAAATTTTGCTGCTATGAGGATGATATAATATCAATTGTTAAATTATCATTTAGGAATTTAAAAATTTATTGGTGTTCCGTTTTAACAACCTAATATAGTCCAAATAGGTCTGGAAGGGCGGTTTGACTAACGTTTGTCAAATTTATTCCAATCCAAATGAAAAAATCAAGATTATTCACAGCTAATCCCTAGAGAATGGAAGTTAATTACCAGACTGGATTCGAACAAGTTCCGTTTCGAACACGTTCCACATTTCTGATCAAAAATGTTTAGTTACCACCACCGCCTCCGAAATCATATTTTTAAATAAAGCACAATTGCATAAAAAGTGCCCCTTACGGTCAATATTACTGGAGAAATTTAATTGAAGGGGCCTCTCACGCGTGTCAACAATGTTGAGTCAATATTATTTCAGTTATGATCTTGCTTTCTCAAAACATGTAGCTACTTTCTTTCATTTTTCTATAAGAAAATTTCAAATTACATTATTGCTTTGGTCATGCCTTTGAAAAATAGGAATATTAAAATAATATAAGACAATAATACTTTCAGAGATAATTTTTTACATATTACATGGTTGTAAATAATATCTGTACATAGTAAAAAATATAGACCAATGAAAAAAAATAATTTTTCAATTTGTAGGAGGTTTCTGCCCGAAAGCACCGTCCCTCGTAGATCCGCCTGAGGTATGGACTTACGGAGAATCTACATATATAGTACCATTCACTAGCGGATCCAGTATTTCATTTTGGGGGCTTCAGTCCGAAAACTTTTTTTTTTTAAATAATGAAAATTACTTAGGAAGAAAAAAAAAAGTAACTACCTATACGAAACGGTGTTTGAATGATTCTTGAAGTCCTATTAAATGTAATTACACGAACAATAATACTTTAACAGATCATATTTTTTCATAAGAATATTTTACCATTTTGGTGGGCTTCAGCCCGAAAGCCTCCTTCCTTCTTCTCATTCTAAATTCGAAATCAAGTTGATCGCTCAAAGATTATAAATTTATAGTTTGACCTATTACTGAAATACTAATAATTTATTTATCACGTTACAAATTGCCAGCAACTTGTTTGCAAAACGTAAAGGGGACTGTCTGCAATGAATCATTATTGCAAATGTTTGCCTAAAAAAAAAAAAGCTTACAGAAAACAAGTCATTATGACCATTAAAATTGTAAAAAGTCTATTTATTATATCGACGGTAGGCAATAAAAATGTAGTTACTCCATCTGATTTTATAAACCACAGAACTTTCTTTGCTTTTATAAAGTTGACACAGAATGACTAACTCCAATTTCAACATTTTTGAGTAATGTCATTTTAATGACATTTTTAGTTGAAAAAGTTATCTATGCAGACAGTGAGTAAGTTGATTCCGGAGGTGGTGATTGCGGTGTTGAAATATAGAACTGAGAATAAAGGTATAAATTTAGGTACTTATTTCTTATGAAAGTTGTTCTTAGGAAAGGTACATTATTAAATTTCTGTAAAAAAAGTTTTTTTTTAGCCTCAACAATTAAAAAAGTATATTTTAAATTTATCCAGGGAAAAAAACTAGAGGCCATATCTTTCCTCCTAATTGTCCAATTTTAAAGATTTGTTTTTTGTTTTTTTAGGAAATTCCATAAACTTTTAAAAATCATATACAATATCAACAAAAAAGTGTATACTTTGTGAGTTATTCGGAATTCAAAAGTTATATGTAGCATTTTTTCGTAAGTCTGAATAATGCGAACTGGTTAACTTATTAAAATAAACCATATTAAAGGTACTTTAGAGGAAGACATATATGAACATTGGGCATTAAACCCTGTAAAGTGACATCAACGGGGATAAGACCTAAATGATATTAAAGACCACTTAATTATACCATGATACACCGAGTTTGATCAAAATCGTTAGAGCCGTTCTTGAGAAAATTGTAAAAATCTGTTTCAGCGTTCATATAAAGTGGCATTTCTGGTTACCGATTTTAACGAAAAAGTTGCTGTCACATCCGGCCCATATACAAACCTTAAATACTTAATATCAGTTTCGTACTACTTTTCGTTTTTGAGCTAGACTGTTAACACATACACACAGACACACATACACACAGACACACACACACACAGGCCGTTTTGTGACACTTGGTTATTTGGACTCAGAGGACCTCAAAACATGTATTTCCGTTGAAAATTGAGATTCGAAAATTTTCAGGATCGCAATACCCTTCCTATATATTACATATATACGTAAGTGAAAGTAAAAAAATGATTAAACGAATTACGGATATTTCTTCTAGTTATAAATGCGAATTGAATAAAAGGAAATCCAATAAACACATGTTTAAGAAAGTTTATAGATATTAGTAAAAGATAACTTGATAAGACAGTACTGTTTGCGGGCTCCAAGTGGAGGTTACACCTTCGGTTCTGTTACGTTCTAAAGTTTTGCTCAGCAATTTTAGTTATTTTTACTGATCGTTAGTGTTGATTCTTTCGATCACAGTTACAAAATGCCTTCGGACGAACAAGATAAATTTGATGGTATGTTGCTGGCTATGGCACAACAACATGAAGGAATCAAAGATGTAAGTTGCTTATTCAGCCTTGTGTAGTAGATAGTTCATGTTCACGTTTAGCTCTTAAATTTGATTTTATATCGTTTCTGAGGAATAATTTCACAACATTGATGTATTATTTTGGTTTGTCTATAAAGAAGAATGATTGATAAGTGTTTTTGCATATGTATTAGCATACCTCAAGATCTCAGAATTATTTTGCCCTTTATTATTATATTTACTTCATTATCAGAGAATATAAGATCATTAAAAAAAAGTTTTATGATTGTTAAGTACTGAAGTATTGATTGGGTGAAGGCTAGGAAACATTTTACTTAGAGTCTGTAACAATCAAACATTCTGTTACTATGGGTTTCGGTGTATTATCTTAAAATTGTAAACTAGTTTTAATGAAATTATTTTTTAATTTAAATAGTGTATAAACATTATTAAAGTTTGATGATGAGTTCTAAATCACTAAAAAAATCTAATTTTAAGGAATGTTTGTATAGATTGCTTGCTATGAACTTTAACTGTATACCGCGGCTACCACATTTAATGGTAATACTTCACAAGTGTTGCTTGATCTTGATGAGTGACCACAAGGTCTCATGATCACGCTGTACCTATAATTCTAAAAGTTGACTGACGTGATTGAACCCTATGGTAAGCCCTGTATTCAACTGAAAACCACCCATTGGTTATTTGTTTATATATTGTTTTTAGAGTGAGTATAACTAGTATAAGCCCCAAGCAACAATATAATTAAGGCCCAAATTTCAACCAATATAATTAAATGGAGGTTATACATACTCTTTAACATGATGTGACTCACCCATTCTTAGAATTTCATGATCTTGACTCTACCATCATAGTGAAGCAATCCTTGTGAAGTAGTACCACTTTTACTTATGTTGTTGTGACGTTATTTATCTATACAAAAACATAGTAAGTGCATCATATTGTTACAAACTTTGATGGATTTATCAAATATAGTTACACAAAGTGCACATCGTTTTAATATATGAGAGAGGAAATTTGTCTAAGTACTAAGTGATTTAATTTTATAAAACGTTGCTTTATGAATTTTTGTAATAATTTTACTGTCCGGAAAATAATGCGCGATTTTGAGTTTTCTTTAAAATATCCCTCTATATAACAAACTGTTAATGTTTACTGAATTATTCATTTGTATGAATGTCAGTACTGTATAATCCTTGTCCAAGCGATAATGTTTGTTTACCTCTGTAGCATTTTGCTGCTTAGAAATAATTCAGAATTTACTAAGATGTCAATGAGTGATTTTCGTATAATTTTGTTTTACGAGTTTAAACCCAGCCGGAATGGGATTCAGATGGTCAGAAACATCAATCAAATCTGAGACGAGAGCAGCAGTAATGAGTGCACTGTTCAATGGTGGTTCAGAAAATTTCAGGAGGGAGACTTCTGCCTTGAAAACAGAGATCGTGGAATGACTTCTTCTCTTGATGACAATGTTCTCCGGGCTTTGATGGAAGGAAACCCCAAAACAACTGTTTGAGAATTTGGAGGGAAACATAACCTTAGTAAATCGACCGTTGATGACCACCTCAAGGCGATTGGAAAGATAAAAAAATTTGAAAGTTTGGTTACACACACATTAAACGACCGCCAAATAAACCAGCATTATTAAGTTTGTGATACACTTCTTTGCCAAAATATAAACGACCCTTTTCTGTCCTTAATTGTTACTTTTGATGAAAAGTGGATACTCTATGATAACAAAACATTCGAAAACTCTATGGTATTCTGGATTGTTGCTCAACAATGGAGAACCAGCAGAACATTTTACAAAGACTCCAACTCATCAAAAAAAGGTGATGGTTACTGTTTGGTAGGCTTCATTTGTTTTGATACACTACAGCTTCTTAAATTCTGGAGAAACCATCAATGCCGAATCGTATTTTATCCAAATTAATGCAGTACATCAGAAATTGGTATTACTGAAGCCATCTTTGGTCAATCGGTAGGAGCCCATTTTGTTGCATGACCACGCCCGGCCACATGTCTCATGTGTGATGTCACAAAAACTGTTGGAGCTTGGAAATAAAACTCTGCCACATTCGTCCTACTCTCCAGATTTCTCGCCTACGGATTATTATTTTTTTAGACACCTGGACCATTACTTATGTGCTAAAATATTTAATGGACAAAGGAAATTAGAAAATGCGTTTTTGGAGTTTATCAATTCTAAAGATAGGAAATTCTATTCCGAGGGAATGGAAAAGTAAGCTAACACATTGACAGAAATGTATTGATAGTAGTAGAGACTATTTAGATTAAATAAAACAGTGGTTAATCTTTCTTTTTAAAACAAAATCCTGCATTATTTTCCGGACAATCCAATAACTAGTGATCCATATCAGATATTGTTTTTAGTCAAAATAATTCTTCTGTCAAGTACAAATATGTGCTACTTTTAGGTAAGGAATATTATGAGGTCCTAACTCCTGTATTCTCAACATCTTATATTGCATTATATTGTATTTGTTTCTGACCAAAACATTAGTATTTTAAACCACTGAGTTGGTTTGAGGTATATTGTAGTTGACATCTTTCTGTGTTTTCTGTAGTTATGAACATCATTTATGTTGACCGAAAGTTGTTAAAGTCAAGTAAAATTTTCGATATGCAGTTTTAACAGATTTATGTATTTTAGAGCTCTCAATTAAAAAAAAATTCAGCTATCAGTGGGTGGAACGATTTTGTTGGTTTTTTTTAATCATGCTCCTGATATGTACGTGGTGTACTGAATCAGGTACCCAACACATTTAAGCGGCTGTGATCTAGGTGAAAACTGTTTTCCTATAGATCAGAGCACATAGATCATTTCCATTATCATTTTTTTATAGATTATGGCACATAAACGATCTGGATTAAATTCCTTAAGTCTAATCTCTTAAAGCTCATTAAATTTCTTAAGTGTAGTACTAGTACTATTCCCAAAAAAAACTGGATAAAAAGTTAGGGCAAGAAGAAAATGTTTTTGAGCATAACTTATTATATTTATGGAAGATAAAAACAAATTAATCGAACCAATAATTGCTTAAATGTTTGGTTTCGTATAGTTTTTTTTCTTCCTTTCGCTACTGGGTGAGTAAAGTATTGTAATAGTATCCAATTTTTTTATGTGTTGTTTTCAACAGGCAAGTTTCAGAGTCCCCTGAGCCTCCCCCTCCCAAAAAAGAGCATTCAAATAAGCTTATTATCAGCCAAGATATGAGTGTATTGAACTTTATACTATTGTTCTTCTAAGTTTTCTAAAATAATCTGCATAGGTTCCTATGGCAACCTGTCCACTTTTCTTTATTTAACCAACTAGCTTAGAACTAACCATCCCTTTGAACAGTCCAGATATTCTTTTGAAAGATGATTAAATTGTATGCAAATTCAGACTTTAAAATAAAATAAAAAGTTAATAGGATCAATATTTGCAGGGATACACAAATAATTTGTACCCAACACTGCAGGAAAATTATTTTTGTGGACATAAGTTATATTAATGTACACAACAGTTTTTTTTATTTGCTTGCAGTCCGATGTAGCTAACAATTATTATGGGAATAATTTGTAAATAAAAATCCTTTGAAAAATATATTCTGTGTGATTTCATTTTAATGTAATAATAACTTTATTTGAAAGTTCTTTTCCTAGATTTTTTGAGCGACTAAGTTAACTCTTGTATTAATTAATTCACATTATATTATGTAATTATATTAATTGCATAACTATATGATCTCTTACATTAATTAATTTATAAGTAATAACTGTCAACTAAGGTAACTTTGTTTTGGCCTTATTCTCCTTGCAATAAATGAAAACCACTCTCTTTGTTTAGATGCATCCCAATAAAATCATTTTGTATTGTGCCCATCATTTTGTATGTAGTCCCTTGTTAATTATTTCAAGTGAAATGGTTGAATTAACTTTCAGAAGATAATATATTTATATGATCATTAAATTTGAATTAGCTAAGTTGTCACTTTAAACGCGTCACTTAGAGCAGTAGACGAAATGTAAGAAACAAAGTACTATACCCATTGGGAAGAAAAACAGCCCATTGGATGTCAATGGATGAAATGAAACGAAAAATAATTTTATTCTGAGGCTGATATGATATCGCTGGGAAAAAGCTTAACATTCTTGGTGCTGATGATCCTTCTGGAAGAACACAGCATTCTTTTCTCACAGAATGTTGGAGAGGATGTTCTGTGTACCCTATCCCTTCCTATTCCAGAGGCTCTTTCCTGTTGGGTATAGATTTTTTCAACTTCAATCAGTGACAGATTATCTTCAGTAATCTTTTAGCTTTAGAGAGGTATATTTTATTTTCAAATCGGCCATCTAGAGGTTGTTTTGTGAATGGTTAAAAAAAACATCAATATAAATTTTTTAAAAGAAATATCTTATATATTATTTCTCAAATATATATCTCTTTTCCGGCTCTCAGGAGTGATGGATTTTGACGAATGAGGTATCAATAGAAAGGGAATATCAGTAGATTGCGCGAATCGTAATTTTGATTTCTAATTTTATAATAGACTTAAATAAAAGGTAATGTAAAAGTGGGAGGTTTCAATCCATATAATGAAATGAAAATAGATTTTTATTATCCTGGGACTTTTGTCCATTTAGGACAAATTATAGATACAGAGGAAATGCCTGTGTGGCCATAAAATTAAATATTTACAATGCTCATTAAAATAAAAATATTGGATGAAAAATTAAACAAAACCACTAAATACATACAGATATATACAATACAAACATGTTAAAATAAAATAACATAATTAAACAAAACCATTTCTGGGGGAACTTAAAAAGTTCTCTTATCTACTTTTCATGATCAATCGGGTTGGGAAAGAAGTAGGTGCTTAAAAAGGAGGGATTTAAATGAGGAAACTGATTGCGCATGTCAGATATCGGGAGGGATGGTATTCCAGGTGGAGACAGCTTGAATTATAAAGGATTTGTCAAACGCAGCAGTTCGGTGAGGGGGTGGATAGAGGTCAGAAGTACGGGATCTAGTGGGACGGAATTGAATGGAATATTTAAATTGTAGGCTGTGAAAAATATAGAAAGGTAGCAAAGAAGTATAGACGGCGGTTGGTGCCGTTACAACGAAGTCGAGACGTTCCAAATGAATTCATAATTTCGGAATAACTCGAAAAGGACGCAATTTTTGGCTCATTATGCGTATGAGTATTTGAAAGTTTACTGAATTCCCTACAAAATGTAAAAAAAAAATCATCGAAATTGGAGTATGGTGCAAAGATATAGTATTCTAAACATTTAGTATTAATTCTACTTTAAAGATCTTTTTATTTTTTTCAGTTTTTGATTATTGAAAAACTTTAAATCCATTCATCTAATAGTTGATTTCGTCAAATTTATTTTAGTAGAATTTTATTTGACCGCGAGTGTGGTCTAGACCACATCCCGATTCCTGATTTAAAGTACTGGGTAGGTCATCAATCCTACGCCCGGTCGGTGTGAGTTGCCTCCAGTAGCCTGACCTTCTAAAAAAGATAGAACAACTATTGTTTTGTTGACAACAAGTATGGAGGATGTAGTATAACATTATTCCAAAAAATAAAATTTTCCTTTTATTTAGGACTGGATTAACAATTTTGAAAAAAAACAACTTCCTTATAACTATTTAAATTAGACTATCGACGACCGTTATTTAAAACAAATTATAAATTATATATAATATAAAATTAAAATTATATATAATTTCAAAGAATAGAAACATCGAAGCCGGAAAAATCAATATTATCGTTTGTTACTTACTTATTTTTTCTGTTTTAAAGAATCGTTTGTTACTTACATTTGTTCTGTTTTAAAGACGCATTTAGACATTTCACAAACTATAGGACAAACAAATATATATAAGTTGTTATTTCGCTATGCTAGTATTTTTGTTTCTTGTTTTTGATATTTTACATCTGCTGTCGGTATCAAGAGGAATAAAATAAATAGTTTGGTTTAGAGCTATTGTTAGGTTAGACAATTGTGTTTCGCATAGTTTGTGTAATGTCTTAACGCACCTCAAAGATTAAAAATATCCATCTCCAGTATGTCGATGTATCAATATTTTTTTTTATTTTTACATATTTAGATATTATGCGCCTCCTTCGCTTAATGAGCCAATGTATTACAGACATTAACTTTGAAAAAATTGCCGCTCGCGTTTCGTTACGAAACTTTGTCTATGTCTATTCCAATTATATTGCTGACAGGCAAATTTTAACAAATCAACTTGAACAACTGATTGCTCAAAATTAAAAAAAAAAATCTAGGAGTCTTTCCGAGATACAATTTCTATGTCTTGTTTCCAATGAGAATATCTTGGACAAAATTGTGATAACGAAGGCCAAATGTTTGATTTAATCCCTCCATGGATGAAGGTCCCTGATGAGCCAGTAGTCTAGACTCGAACTGTATACTCATATTAAGTGGTATTCTCCGCTTACGAGACGATTTTCTTACACACAGATTGCCATCTTCAATTAAGAAGATATAAAACTTTCTTCTAGACGATGTTCGATATGAGCATTTCAAGTAACGAAAAAGAAATTGCTATGCTTTTTTTGGTACCGTCGCGACGGATTAAAAGAGTTATTATTCCCTGTATTTCGGGTGTAGTACTCTTACTTGCAAAGTAATTTAATTTGAATAATACTAGTGACTATTCTAATTAGAAAATAAAACATGTTTTGTAAAAACTATTAAAATAATAAGCAGTTTATGCTTGATATTAATATTACTCACCGCTCACTCTCGTTCTTGTTTCGAGTCAGTTTCGCCTTGTTGGAGAATCACATAAGAGTTATCTCGGAAGTTGAGTGGAGGGGGATTCGCTTGATCGGGCGGAGGTTTTTAGGATTTTTTCATTATTTTATGTTTTGTGTAAATTTAGTACAACAATCGATAGTTATATTACTTGCTAGTGTATACTGATTAAATATAGCTCTAATATAGATATTATATCTATTGCCCTCAAGTGTGGCAGAATGTATTATTTTCCAATAAATTAAGTTATAAAAAAACAAAAAAACCCCGATAAATTGGACTTTTCCAGCCTTGAAAGTAACCACCCTACGTTAGTTTTTAAGATTTTTAGGTAGAAATTATTAAGTAATATGTCGAAACAGAGGTGCCCATCACCCAAATGTCTTTCCCTCTCAAGAAATTTCATTCCCTACCACTTCTTAATAGCTGTCTCAGCCACTAGCGGATTTAGGATTTAATTTTGGGGGAGGCTTCAGCCTGAAAGCTTTGTTTTTCATAAATATAAGGATGATTATTTTGGAAAAAAGAAAGAAACTAACTACCTGTATGAAATGGTGTTTAAGTGATTCCTAAAGCCCTTTTAAATGTAATTACACAAACAATAATACTTCAAGAGATAATTTTTAAATATTTTTTTTGATAAAACATTGTTATATTTTACCAGTTTGGGGGAGGGGGGGACTTCAGCTCGAAAGCCCCCTCCCCCCCAGTGATCGCCCGTGGTCTCAGCGAAAGTATAATTACAAAAATTATGGTTTATATACAGTGATGTATTCTGAGATCTTTTTCATGTTTTCCCTCTTGTTTGAAAGTTTCATAACTGAAAGCCCACAAAATTATGGTTCCCTTCCAAATTCATATCCTCATCAAAATGTGTCCCCTCCATAATTCAAAATCTTGTAAACATGTACCCTTCTTAAAAATTCTGGGGCTTTTTACATTGAAAACTTTAATTTCATCTCAATTATTAGTTTAATTATACTATTGAAATTTACCTAATCCATTACTTATAATATAATTTATGTTACTCAACTATATGTTTACCAAGTTTTTTACTTTCACTTACTTATATATGTAATATATAGTGATGGTAAGTATTGCGATCGAGAAAATTTTTGAATCTGAGTTTTCAACAGAAATACACGTTTTGGGTTACCCTGAGTCTAAATAATCAAGTCTGGAAAAATGGTCTGTGTATGTGTATGTTAGCAGTCTAGCTCAAAAACGAAAAGTCCTACAAAACTGATAGCACGTATTTAAGATAGGTATATGCCTTAGATGTGACTGCAACTTTTTCTTTAAAATCAGCTTACCGAAGGTGCCACTTTATATCAACGGTGAAACACGTCTCTCTATAAAGTACCTTTAATATGGTTTATTTTAAAAAGTTAATCATCTCACCTTATTCAGATTTACAAAAAAAAAAAAATGCTAAATATAACTTTTGAAAGAATTTGATAAGTTAATAAAGGAAAAAAAGAAAATGCTTATCCAGGTCGAAAATGAATCTCTGGAAATACCGGTCAGAAAGTATAGGTATAATATATCGTTGGAAAGTGGAGAATTTTAGAAAAAACAATATCTGATATAGAAAGTTGTAGAAGGTAACGGAGAGTGACAAAAAAATTATAAATAATAATTTTTGAAAACTAATATTATTTAACGTAAATCACATGTTTTCAAGGAAATTAAATGAAGTTTACTCAATAAATGTAAACTTTTAAAATATTTTTAAATTTGAAAAAAGTATTTAAAATCTACCTAATCAAGGCAATGACATCGTTAAAATAACTATTTCATTTATGTATAAAGCATGTGTTTATAACCTTAAATACATTTACTGTAGTTTAATAATTCTAGATCCGATATTATATTTAAATAATTAGGTATCAACGTCCGTTTATTCCGAAATATTGTCATCTTAATTTTTAGAAAATTAAATTAGTGAATAATTTGACGTATCTTCCCTTTGTGATATTCCAATAGTATCCACCCCTATTTCATTGTACCTCTGTGAAAGAAGAAGTGAAATATAAGAATATCTCAAATATACGTTTATAACCTTAAATATATTTACTGTAGTTTAATAACTCCAGATCTGATATATTTAAATATTTAGGTATCTATTATCCGTTTATTACAAAAAAAATCAAGTAACCTTTTAGAAAATTAAATTGGTGAATATTTTGATGAAATTTCTTTTTGTGGTATTCCAACAGTATCCACTTACTATTAGTGTGACAACTTTTCACCTGTCTATGACAGACAATGCAAATCTCTCAATTCCGTTTTAGTAAACTTTGCAATGGAAAATAACACTTTAATAAGTAATAGTCATACAATCCATTAGCAACAGATCGTGAAATCCATAAGCAACCAGTGATATCATAAATAGGACTTTCGTTATTTTAATGGTATTTATGATTTGTTAGTTGTAACTTAGTTTTAGTTTTAACTCAGTTAAAAATGCAATTCAAAAATTTTATAATAGCCAACATGGCCAGAAAATAATTTCTATTCAAATTTGAGTGGTAAGTGAAAGTTGTGTTGCGCACACCAGATTTTTTTAGATGGCTGAGAAATATTTTTTGAAATTTTCATCAATGATTGATCTTATTGGCAAAATAATATTGATTATTATTATTTACTAAATATCTCATCAACATTATTTACTGCTGACTTGTATTATGATTATGTTTACTACATATTTCATGGATATTATAATATATTTAATTACTACGCTTCATATTTACTTCTTTGAATAATCTTTTTAATACTTTTTTTCAGCTCCTAGATACTTTCTTCAGTTTTTTGGCAAGGAAGACAGATTTTTATATTGGTGCTCAAGCCGATGCAGCAAAATCAGTAAGTTTCAGATTCATTGGCATTTTTACTATAGTAATATGGATATTATTAAGACATAAAATTTTACAACAATGTAAGACAAATTCAGTCCATTCTATCTGGTTTAAGAATGGCTTGAAAAGATGACCACTAAAATAAAAACTTACAAAGTAATATGAACCAGGTATCTTGAAGTTGATTAAACTTAATAAACTGCTTTTTGATCACCCAGCACATTCATGGCTTTATTCTGTTATAAGCAATATATATAAAAAAAACCTGCAAATTTTGATTTTTTTTTTTTCTCATAATTTTTAAGGCTCTTTTAGTCTTAGGTGAGTGGAATCTCAACAAATATAAGAAAGTTTGGTTTAATTGGGTATTTATTGAACCAAATTAAGTTGTGTTAATTTATAATTTGATGTTTATTTTCTAATTTAATTTTTCTTCAACTTATATTGCACAAATTTTCTATAATTCGGAAAAAATATTTTTGTGAACTAGGCATTTATTTTGTCAGTCATTCCAGTTTCTCATTTGGTCTATATCTGCAGCATTATCTTTTTCCTTCTATCAGCAAAGCCATATCTTTTGTCGAGCTTATCAGTTATATTTTTGTTATAATCCCTTCATAGACATTTCTAGGAAGAAATCTGCCATTCATTTTGTATCCTAGAAATATCACTTTTTTGTTCTTTGTCTAAAAAAAAATATTACCCCTCAAGATTGGTTTGGTCGTTCTAGAAACGTCTATCAGAACCTTCTAAACCATGTGTTTATGTGTAGGGTTTGTGAAATCATTAATAAGTTAAGATGCAAACTTAGTCGGTATTTTTGTATAATAAATAATCTTCATATTTATTTTCAGCACTGAATTATCAAATGCATGTGGTAGAAAAATGCCAAAGAAAAAATACTTCTTTAATTTTAACGATTACTATTGCATTTTAACTTGAAATGACTCTTGCAGTTGATGTATGTGGAAAACTTGGGATTTGCACACATATTTTTAAAAAATCTCATTTATAGTTATTAAAATATCTAGTCCTGTCATAAATATTGTTACAAGGAAATATATATAGATTTCAACAAAAAATTATTTTTTTCAAAAACTTTATTAGAAAATAAAATGTATATCTATAGAGTGTAAAACAAAAAAGAAATTGCTCCAAATGTCCCCCTTTTGCCTTGACCCAGGCATTTAATCTCCATGGCCAGCCATCAGTAGCAGCACACAGCACTTCTTGAGGAAAGCGCTCAACTGCTCAGACCAGAGATTGTTTGAGGCTTTCCAAGTTGGTTTGTGCTCTGTGGCATGCCATCCTCTCCAGTTCGGACCAAAGCCTATAATCTATTGGGTTGAGATCAGGACTTTCTGAAGGCCAATCTGAGGTAGAGATGAACTCTGGAATTTTCTTTTGCAGCCACTGCTGAGTTGACCAGGCCTTGTGAGCTGGAGCAGAATCCTTCTGGATAACCCAATGACTTCCAGCAAACAGAGTATCATTTAGAGGCTTGATAACAGGTTGCAAAATATCTTCCTATAGTTTTTAGCAGCTGTTTTAACTCCTTTTTCATAAAAATGGAGCTTTGTGGTGCCATCAAAGCAAGCTCCCCCACCAAACCATCACTGAGGAAGGGTGATAACCTCTTTTCACTCTTCCAATTACTTCCTGGACTTCTTTAGACCTGTGTGCGTAGACACCATCATTGTGATGAATAAATTTTCTTCAATTGTAAAAATTTTCTCATCACTAAACAAAATCTTTCAATGAAGACCATTGGTGTAACAGCCAAGGAGCACTTTGCATCTATCCATTTTAATTTTTTTCAGGGAAGTGGTTAGCCTTTGTCCTTTGTCCGATCTTTGGAGATCGGCTGGTCGAGGTCTGTCATATTCAGATAGGGTCTCATTATATCTATTTATAGTGCAGTACACAAACATACGGCTGATACCCAAAGGTTTCAGTGTTGAAAATCCCTGACCTTCATTTTTTAACTTTGTATAAGGTGATCACAGCTACTCGTTTTCTTTATCACCCCACTCCATGTTAACTGAGCGAAAGAAAAATACAAACTAATTAGGATTAATAACCTGACATGTAAAGAAAATAACCTAATAGAGGTAAGAATTATTTAAATAATACCCAAGGATATAAACAAAGTTCAACTTTTGTAACAGTATTTATGGTATAACTAGGTATTGTAAAAGACCCTGCAAAAGGCATTTCAACATCTTCAAAATCTAATGGGTGGGTATAGCTAAGAGCGGTCACTGTCCAACATGCTAATGCTTGGAGGATCCAAGACACATTGCCTTCAAGTGCAAAAGATTCGAGAAGCAAAAAAGGATTAGTTTAGGACCACAAACTACCGATGATGGAGCTAATTTTCTTCGGTCAATAAAGATAACATAACACCCGTGATCTGGTAAAGTTTTTGAATGACATAAAAGCAGTTATATGATAAAAGTCCCCTTTTATTCTAATTTAAATGTTATGAAACTACTGTTACATCAGTTTTTAACTATTAGTCTTTCTAGTTCAAGTTCTATATAAGTTACATTCAATGATCATATATCTAGAAATATTCAATACATATACTGTATAATTTCATCTTACAATGACAATTAAAATATTTTATTGGCAAAATCGGACTTTCTTTGACATTAAAGCCAAAAAAAATAAAAGATAAAAAAAATATCTTTAAAACTTAAAGACTCTAAGATAGCCTAGAAGTAATATTGTTATAAAATTTTGTATTCTTGTCTTTATGATCTTTCAGGCTCCTCTTAAACTGAGATTTTCGAAAAATTGGCCTTAATTTTTATGACTTTTTTTATCCTTATTATTTCAAATATTACCACACTTGTAGGTGTAGTATTTTTTTTTCTGAAAAATACAAAATCATTGTGAATTTTCCAAAATTGGATGGATTGATATGTTAGTTAATATAAGATTAGAAATGACATTTCTTATGATTCTTTGTGTAAAACGAGCTTATTTGTGGATAGTATCTAATATAATATTTTGACTCAACCTTACCAATACTGCTATATTCCCTGAAAACAATATTCATATTTACAATTTTACTTGGTGTTTACGAAGCTAGATCTTGGAATAGAATAGATATTAACTTTCAGGTTCTATATTGCCTTGAGGAGTAGCAACTTAGGTACTCAAGTCTCAAGGGTTTATTGTATACTGTCTTCATTTCATTATGCAATATCCAAAGCTGGGTAAATTTATGGATGATGGAACATTTCAATATTTTCATATAAGTTAAAATCAGTATCGAGAAAAGCAGAGCTATGAAAAGAAAAAAAAAATGTGAAACTTCAGAAGTCATTATAGCTGAAATGCAAGAAACTTTTTTTTAATTTTAAATTATCAAACCTGCCAAACATATACTTTTCATAATTTTGAAAAAAAAAAAAAATCATTTGAAAAATAACTATTTTGAAGTTTCAGAAAAAAAAATAGATAAACTTTCAATGTGTTATATACAACATATAAAAATGTATCGTGTCTCCTAGATCTCAGTTTGTGTTACTTTATATCTTTTTATTAACTATAAATGTAGTGTTAAAGTATAGATATTATCTACATACCACTAGTTTTCACCAGGTGTCAGCCACACGTGTAACTTTTAATGTCTTAAGTTAAAAAGCAATAGTGGTTCGTAAGAGTTTGATAAAAAAAAAATAGTGGTTAACTTTCAATGCACAGAATGCATTAGCCTTGATTTTTAAGTTGTCGAATCTCTCAAAATGTCCAGATGTCATGAAAATCGCTGGTATTTGTTTATCTAATCCTTATTGTCCATCTGCTGTTCTGGCCACTACAACTCTCTCCCCTCCCCTTGTATATATACTAGTATACATATATGTGTATATTTGTACGTATGCATATATACACAAACCCTCAAAAAATTATTGGACCACTAGTCAATGTGTTCTCATCAGACTTTTATTAGTGGACAATATTCAGCACCATTGCTAAATTGTTTTGGTTCTAGCAGACAACATTGTTTAGAACATTTGATAACTTCAATTTTTCTTCTATAAAAATTAATACCGGCTTATTTATTTTAACTATCCCAATCTTTGTTGGCCCAGTTGTATGCAGTAATAAATATTGTAAATAAATAAATAATTTGTTTGTAAAATAAGTAACTTGTTTTAACTAAGTGATTCAATAGTTAGTTTTGGATTCCTTTGAGAAATACCAGTCAAAAGCAAATTTGGCTGCTGAAAAGAAAAGAACTGAAAGTGTTGAAGCTGAAAAGAAAAGGAAAGAAAAGCTTGCTGCCAAGGCCACTCCTAAAGTAATGGAAATAACTGACGAAGAAGCAAAAGTAATTGAAGATGTAAGTATTTAGTATTATTGTTTAAGTTCATCTTTTCATTCATGTTTTAGATTAGACTAAAGATGTTGGTATTTAGTATTATTGTTTAAGTCCACCTTATCATTCATGTTCTATATTAGACTGAACAGACTAATGAATAGTTTCATTAGATTCATCTTCGGATTCCTTAGACACCCCTTATCTCCAGTCTGTATGCTGAGTTAAATTGTCTTTTTCCAGTTTTCCAATGGTAATATTTCCTCGGTATACACCTTTTCCAATCCTCTAAAACCCTAAAAGCTCCATAACATTCTTGAATTTTTCTTCCTTTGTTTCTCTGCCCACTCCTTAAAAAATATATGCAATCCCACAAATATGTTTATTCCTTCTAATAAAACTGTTTCCTTTATCATCTCTCATGTGTACTACATTTTTTTAGAATTCTTTATTCACCTCAATATACAAAAACTTATCTTTAACAGCAAAAGTTAATTATATAAAGAAAGGATAACTAATTGATTAAAAATAAAAAGAAAATTAATTTTAAAATAGTCACCTATAACAATTGATGAACAGTGGCAAGGAAAGAATATAGATTTATTCAAAATATACAGGATAATATTTAGCAACATAATGATCTGAGGTATTGAAAATAAATAAATAAATGTTAAAGTAATAGTAACATACGTTTAATAATAAAACAAAGTTAGCAGTGATTATATTTTAAACTAATTAACAATATGAATGAGATAAATAAAGCACTAATTGATTTGTTAGTGACATAATCTATACCAAAATTGATTAATTAATTTCTAAATTTCTTTCTGAGAAACCTAATCTTATTTCGTTTGAAATATTTTTACAGTAAGAAAATTATCTTTCTACATTAACACTCGTGATAGGATCAAACATATTTGCACTTGAAATTACTGGCTGTTGATTTTACTATTAACTGGTTTAAAACTGTAGTTTTGCTATTTCAAGGGATTTAAAGTGGATAGGAAGGAGAAATAAAAAGTCAGGAAACATTATTAAAAAAAAAAAAAGAAAACCACATTCCAAAAATTCATTCATTGAAGATTACCTTGTTTTGTTGATTGAAAATGAAGTTATGGTTGTAATCTTGTATGTAGTTTTCAGCGTTGCATTATAATTTTTTATTTCTATTATTTTGTTTATTTATTTCAAATTAACAAAATATGGGAATGAATGCATTTCTTATCAACATATCACATTATTAACGTTTGTGAAAAATTATGAAATATAAAATCTGACTAACTGCATTAGAGCAAACTGATATTTAACAAAATAATTTTAGTTCTAATTATATTTTTTTCATCCTAATGGTCTTTATAAATCCTCTATATTGTAACTTTGACCTAGGTGATTTTGCATTATATATTGTTGTATTATGTTTGGGATGATTCATTGTTTTATCATTCTTAAAGGTTTGTTTCACTCCTTAAATTGTTATTCGTTGCATTTATATTTTACAAATTAAAAATAAAAAAAGTAAATTATCCATTATTATTGAAAGAGTTATAATTCAAAGTTATAAAATTGATTAACAATTTCTGATGGATGGAATCGAATAGGTGTAAAATCATCTTTTTTTATTATTAATCATGGAAAATAATTGTAAAAAGTATTTTTAATAGACGCATGGCAAAATTTAAAAAAATAAATATTTTTAACATTTTAGGTTTTCTTAATATGATAAAAACTTCATCTTTTTAGGAAGAAAAAAAGAGAAAAGAAGATGAAGAAATAGCTCTATCAAAACCAATTACAGAAACCGAAGGCGAAGATGAGGAACAAGATAAAGGAAAACTTATGCCCAATGCGGGAAATGGTGCTGACCTTGAGAATTACAGGTGGACACAAACTCTCCAAGAGTTGGAAGTAAGTAATGCTTTCTTTATTATTGTTCAATACTAATTAATTGTACTCACTCTCTATAGTAACGTAAATTGAAACATTAGTTCTGGATGAAATCTCTATGAAGAGACCAGTTGTGGGTTCGATAGTTCACCAATTTTTGTTTTTGGTTGGCAGCCGTTATCATTTATCACTTTTTAAAAATCGATCTTACCTGACATTTGTTCTGTATTTATCAGTTTTTTTTAAAAATTAATCTTAACTTATACTTGTTGTTAGTTCCATAGCTGGATCTTTACTCAAGTAGTTATTTACTGATGAAGTGTCAACCATTCCCATCCTAACAATTTTTGAATTGCCAGACTGTGAAATATGTAAATTTAGCTTCCTTGCAACAGACAGCTCTAAAGAGCAAAGACTACTGCCTAAATTTAGTCATTGAGAGACAAATGTGTTCCCCTGAACCAATATTCACAATATGTTGAAAATTAAGAAAACCATATTTGTATGGTCACAGGGAATAATTTGGTTTGTTGAAAACTGGTCCCCATGAGTAATATCTAGCTATTATGACTATCTTCCGAAAATTTGGACTATGTGATGAAGTTGGTAACTCCACAGTTCTTATCTAAGATTCATAGCTGTGAATTACCAATTTCTTCTCTGTGTTGCAAGAGCCTTTTGAGATTACCACAATATATATCTCATGAAGACCATTTTTTCACTTATGGTTTATACTTTGAAATAAATATGTACTTTGGTCAATTTTAAAATTTACATACATATGTTAAAGTTTTTCTTTTGAAATAATAAAAGCTGAAACTATAACACTGCCATAACAACTAAGTGATAATTACTTTTTTATTATTATTATTTTTTTTTTATTTCAAGTCTAATGAGAGATTTATTGTGAAGAGTGAAATGAAAATGCTCTTTTTAATAGGTATATTTTTCAATAAGTGGTTACAGTTTTTTCTCATCTTGCCAGTTTTCTTAAAAATTTCCTCTTCTTATCTTATCATCTTTGGCGACTTCTTCATCTCATTTCAAAAATTGGTCAACTTAAATCATTTACTGTGATATATACAGCAATGATGCTACCATAAGTCCAAATCCAAGAATTCTTTTAGCAATATATAACACATTTTTTTTGTTAGATAATATATTATTTTTATTTTAAAACATATTTGAAGCATTTTTAGAATTTAAATTAACTCATCTATTAAATGCAGAATCAAGGATTTTTTATTGACCTTATAAATTCAATGAAATCTAGAGTTCATTTCATGACATGAAATATTTGTCCTTTCTGAAGTTGTCTGTAGAATTAATAATTATCAATCATTGAATTATAATTTGCTATAGAAAATTTTAACTGCAGAAAGATATTTTCTATAAAATATGGGGGCATTTCAAATAAATTGAAATTCTATTCAGTGTTAAATCAGCATAATATCGGTGTGCGTTGTATTAATTTTCCTAAGCGTTTGGAAATAAATATATTGGATGTTGATTATTTAAACAGTTAATGATTATATTTTTATTGATGAAAGTCACATAGATAAAAAATGTAAACACATAATTGTCAGTCTTCTTATTGTGACTAGATTTTCTAAAGCTCTCTCTCTTTTTTATATATAGATATATTGCAGTAATACTTCACTTAATTTACAAATTGTTTTTACATAATTTTACTTTATATCAATCCAGATTATAGTTCAATAAGATCATAACATTCTATAAATTTTATTCGGAAACTATATATTAGCTTTCGAACTGCTATATTTAACTCCTGAGATTAGTGGGTAAATGAAAGACATTCAGATGTAATTGATTTAATACTACAAAGTTTTACATAATTATATCACATTATAAATATAAGAAATATCATTGTTTAATTATACAACCTTAATTGCTAATAAAGATTTAAAAATAAGTTCTTATACAATATGAATTAGGTTACTTTTAAAAACCAGTTGTTTAATAGGTTGTTTTGAATAATCACAGTCATTATAGAAAACACTATCATCTAGTATCTAAAATCCCTCAGTTATTTAGTCAACTTCATTTTACTATTTTTATGAGAAAATCCATGTTTTAAATTTAAAATCAAACAAAAATTACATGTTTTTATTTGGATTTTCTTATTGACTTAAATTTTCTTATATTCTTATGACATTACTTTAAGTAATATGTAAGAATAATGTAAATTGTAAAATGAAGTTAAAATAAAACTTAATCTAATCTTCTTTTTAAGATTTTAATTTTTGCATCACTGTACCTGTCATCAAGAATTCAATCTACTCTTTTATTGACTATTTACATATAAATAATAGTAATAATAATTACAATCGAACATACAAGTTTAGCATCGATCATTTTTCAATATTAAGAAAAATTTGATTGCAGTATGACCCATGAAGATTCAAGTTTTGCAGTGTATTGTTTTCAATGGAATAAGTTAAACCTACACACACACACAATTTCAAAATAATTTATCTAAATCTCTGGTATGCATTCATATTAACAAATATAATGTTTTGAGGTTGCCGATTTCGTACTTTACTGCATTCTTCTGTCTCATCATGAATACCTCACTGAACTTGATCTCACTGAAAAAATAAAAAATAATAAAAATCCTGATTTTTCTTGAGCAATTAAATTACTTTTTAATAATGAATATTTAAAGAAATATGTACAATTCTAACGAAAATGATATATAAGTATAGAATTAAAGTATCGCTTGGGTTAAAATTGTTACCAGTACTTAAAGCTCATAATCAGTACTTGAAATGCAATGGATTAAATTAAATTAATTGAAAAAGGTTTATTCTATTAAATTGTATATACACTTTTGTTTTGGTTATTGTTTATATTGAATAGTTGTAAGCATTTTAATACATGTAGCATTTTAGAGAGATAAAGAGAGAGAAGGGAGATAAAGGAAAATTAAATGAAAAAAAAAGTGCATGAACAAGGAAAAAAAAAGATATATATATATATTTATTATACTCAGACTTATTAATCACTTCTATATATTTATGTATAAGCTTTGTTGATTGTCCTAAACATTAATCAGTATGCTGTGTTTCCAGCCACCTAATATAATTGGGCAGCAAGCTTTTATAGTTTATATGAAAATAAAGCGTTTCTCTCTCTAGTGTTAATATTTTGGATGAAATATTTGAAATGAAAATAATAATTTTGTTCTCTAAAAAAAGTTCTGTCAGAATAATTACAATGTTCTGATTCTAAGTGCATTGCCTGGCTTTTAATTTTCAATTGACAAATATTTAGTAGCAGTTTTTTATAGCAATTTTTATTGCTTACATACGTGAGGTAGTTTAATCATGAAATAGATTAAGCAATCATTTTTTTTCTAAAGGAACAAGAGGAGGAGGATTTATGAATAGAGGTAGGTAAAATACTGCTGAAAGAGTTAGCACAAAAAAAGGAAAAAGATTTGAAGGAATTACTTTTATAAGAGGGAATATGCAAATCAATAGGTTGAGATTTTGTCTTAAGAGAGTGAATAGTGGAACTTGGAGTGAGGAGTTCTAGGATGTAGGAATGTTTTTTTGCTCTAAGAACCTGTTAGTGTAAACACCTAGGGGGTATTGCCAAAGTTGGATAAAGCCACTTTTACTTGGTCTAACAACATGAAACATGAAAGCTCCGTGAAAATATGATGATGAATCTTAAGAAGAAGTTCATACATATCATCAGGTGCATCTCTAGCCCCGCAGATAGCTTTCCATTCACCAAGCAGTCATAGTCGAAGTTAAGGAAAACAAGAGAGAGTACAAGGAGCTGCCAGGTATTTTGAGAAATGGAGTCGTGGAATCTTAGGAATTGTTTAAGAACAGTTGTGGATAGTTGAAATTTGATACTATAGGTCCTTTTTTTTCAATGATTTTTTAAAAATTAAAATTAATTGGTGATAATTAAATAAATCATGTTAATACTTACTGTCTATATAATAAACAGCTGCAATTAATCCAATTAAAAACAAAGCAGACATGGATAGTACTATGGCCGACACATGGTGCCTAACACATATTGACTGTCGCTTCTCCCTTGTATAGCCAGGGTAGTTGATCATGGTGAAGTGGGTCGAAGAAGCAAGCGAAGTTGCGTCAGCTTCCTTTGCTGCTGTTGGCTCCAGCCTCAGCGCAGCGAGATTAGCAGCCGTCAGCAGGAGGGAACCTGAAGATCCGCTCTATAAACATAATGGTTCATTAGAAATATTCTTGTTGATACTACACAACTTTTCTTTTGTAATGGAAACAATTCATTGGTTTATAAACTGAATAGTTTTGTAATAAATTAATCTATTTTTAAAGTAGATATTAAAAAAAAAACATAATAGGACTGAAAAAGATTTGTTGAAAAGGAAAGTTAAATCATAAAGTAGTGTGATCTTGAATTTGAAGAGAAGGCCCTGGATGCATGACTTTGTCAAATGCTTGAGTGACATCCATAAAGACCAGTTGATAGTTTTTGTTCTAATCCTCAAGTAATGTAGTCAGCGACTCAATGTAATTGTGTCATTTAATTTTATGCATGGAAGGTGAACTGATATTCAAATATTACCTTGTGGTCAGTCAGTATGTCAACTAGTCTTATGTATACAGTTTTTTCAACTAATTTGGAGCATATCAACAGGGGTAGCATTATTTCATAGGATGAAGGATATGTCTTTCTGGTTTATGGATCATTTTAATGAGTATTACTATCGCACTTATAATTTTTGTGTCCTTAGTATACATTTATAAATTGTCAGAAATACTTTAGCTTTCCTGAGCATTTGTTTTAATTTTAAATTATGTTGTATATAAATGCTGCTTTTACTATTGCTTTAAATTAAACTTGTTTTTAAATGGGATAAATATAAAATATACAGATTACATTTATAATATTCGAATAATATGCATAAACGCTTTACTGACCTGGGTGCTTGTATTACTTGATGGGGGCGGCGATGAAAGCCATGCTCTGATAGGGGCCTGCCCGGTCGTGCAAGAGCAGGTTGTATTTTCCGCTCTACAAAGTGCCGGCCGTGGTATGTACCACCCCGCTGTCTCCTCGTCCCCCTGTAACATTCAAAATTATCAAACATAATTTATTGTTAGTACATTGTAAGAAATTGATGCATATTAATATCTTTTTAAAAATTTGAGGATTTGATGAAGAACATCATATGACAGTGTCCAATGCTCTATTTTAGCTTATACATTTATAAATGGTAAGGTTTGAATATATCTTTTTTATCATATTTTTAGTTACATTATTTTAATTAATTAAATATAAAATAAATAGTAAAGATTGACACCAATAAATTATTTAAAACATGGGTTCCTAATTTATCAAAACTACTAAAATTGTTGTTTTTTGGATACATCAATTTATGAAAACTAGTCTAAAATAAAGTAGTAAACTTTTATACTGGTATGGAGATAATTGATTGTAATTCTAATTTAAGAAAAAATATATCATGGGTGCAATCAGTATATAATAATATATATATTATAATAGTGTTCGCCAACGTTTCGACCTATATTGTAGGTCTTTATCGGGACATTTGATCTGCTGACACTGCCGGAAGAAGTTAGGAGACTGATGAGTTCCACCAAAAATGTGAATTTTTTAACCATAATCCTATCTTCTTCCAGCTGTGCTTGATGAAGACCTACAATGTAGGACGAAACATTGGCAAACACAATAAATTACTATAATAGTATATTTTTACATTTACTTTATGTTTTGTTTCATTTAATTTATGAACTGAATATGATAATCATTAGTATTTTTTATTTTAATATCAAAATCGTTGCTGAAAATTGATACTATATTATTAATATAATTTACAATGCAGCTCCTTTTGCTTTTGATTTCATTCTTTCTCAACATTAATTTTAATGATGATGATCCAAAAGAAATTTCAAATTGTTATAATGCAATTTTATGTCTAAAATAAGTAAATTGTTTCTTCTTTGTTTTTTTTTAATTTCTGTGTGAACTATTTTTGTTCTTAATATTTTTCAAAACTTTTATTGTTCATTAGTTTTCATTTTATCTATTTAAAAAATAAAACATTTTTGGTGGTTTATTTTAGAAGTTAAATTAATTTGTTCTGTGGAATCAGGTCGCCCACATTGTTGAAATTTCATTTTAAGTTCCAGCTTATAACTCTTCCACTATATTAGCAGGCACAGTGAATGTCTGTTATCAACTACAGAGCTCCATTGATACATTTTGAAGAAAACGAAGTTAAAATAAATCTATAGGTTAACGTTTAATCATAAAATTATGATATTTTCATAACAAGCGCCCCTAATATCCCAACGGTGAACGACAATAGTGAATCAATCTAATTTATGTTATTACAAATATTTCGATATAATAGCGCAATATATAGTAAACAATAATGTTTTCATAAGTAACAGTTTGGATTAAATACTATTACTCCCTATTATTAAAGAAATCTTAAAAGTCGCCTTCTCAATGCATCATGATATTGTCAGATTAGGTACGAGTTGAAAGGTGGTAGTTGAACCAAGTAGGTAGCCAAAGCACTATGGCGGATTATGGCAGTTGACGTAACGTTTGTGAACTAATAAAGTCAACACTGTCTGCTTATTGTTCTGAGCCAGCTTTTAGAAGAGCATGCCACTATTCTACGTGCTTCAATTATTAATATTGTTGCGCATTTTAAGTATATGTATCCGGTCCAAATACAATTTCTTCTTAACATTCAATACGCCTTACGTGTAGAATTTCATGCATTTTATCGATTCGTAATGTTAAGAATCCATAACTGAAAAAATATCTTCCACAAGCGAATGCCAAAACCATGGTAAATCCCTGATCAACATAGGTATAGTATACTTTTAACTTGTGGAAGCACGAACAACATCGAAATTCGCTGTGGATTTTACTGTGTTGAGGTTAAGGACACGATGCGAATTTTCAGTTTTCCTTAAAAAACGACTTTCTTTTTAAATTTTCTGATTTTAACTGAACTTCTTTAATTTTTAAAATTTATTTCAAATTAAATTGGGGGTGGGCTTGTCCTCCTTCATCTCGTTTTTAGAAAACTTATTGAGTAACTAACTATCTTATGTCCTACCAAACAAAATTTTCTCATAGAATATCGCTATTGAAAAATTAAGAATATTAAAACGGCGGAACTGGCTGGCTTACCCCCAATTTGCGAAGGCAGGGCTAAAACTCAAAACAAAAGAACTTTCTACCCAATTAATTGATAAGCTTTGTCATCTAGATAATTTACTATAGTTGGAAGATAAATTGTCTCTGTTGATTTATCTTGCATGCAAGTTACAATTACTGTTTTCCTGTTTGTTTATGTATTGTTCGATGGTTAAACAATGCTGTCTTAATTAATAGATACTTAGTGTTATTTGTTGTAGGTATAGAAAGTTATACATGTATTGGTTGCTTCCGATACACTGATCTTTAAAGCAAATAGGTTTTTTAAAAATTATTTTAATGGTGCAAATGAAAAGTATATTTAATTTTGTTATTCGACTTAGAGGACAGTGGAAGTCCACTTTATGTTAGTTATAAATACGGCAGCATTATTTATTAATTGCGAAAGGAAGTTTGGTTTTATTTATGGATTCTGAAGATGATCGGCGGTTATGAGATGTAGACAGTTCGTAATGTCGTGATGCCGCGAATTAATCATCAAATTCCAGATTACGAATGGGAATGGATATTCTCTGTTATAGAGGCGTAGCTCAAAAATTAACATTTTCAAGATTGATATTTATCGTATAATTAAGAACGCGGAATCAATAAGAAATCTCACAAACTTCCGGTATTTGTGTTATTTAGTCACCAACGTGTACAAATCGCTGCCATTGCTCTAGTGACCCGTAATATAGTTTTCATTGGTAGTAGTTCCAAATATTTATTATTCCATGAGTTGGGTGTTGGTAAACCGTTTGCTACACCTCTGACCACACACTCCCGCGACTTCGTCGTGTTCGCCAATACATTATTGTCTATTGTTTACCAATCATACTTCAATTGGCCAACATGTGCAGCTCTGCATTCTGTTTTATGGTGGAATTCCTTGGGGATGTTAATCTGTTGGCTTGCGAAATAAACAACAGAGCATTCAATAAAGATTCCATAAGAACAATTTATTTAACCATTAGAACTTTTTCTTTTCCGGAACTTGCAGGGAAGATTAAAACTTTGCAGTTGAAGTTGAAATTTATATTTTAATCTTCAATGCTGCAGAAAATTATTAAATTAGTTTTGCATTGTGTAATTACCGATTTTTTTTTCTCTTTCAGATAAGAGTTCCTCTTAAGACTACTTTTAATGTCAAGTCAAGGGACTTGGTGGTAGACCTTGGGAAGACACATCTGAAAATAGGGCTGAAAGGGCATGATCCAATTGTGGACGGCGAATTAGAGCATGAAATCAAAATTGAAGAATCAACCTGGGTCATTGAGGATGGCAAGACTCTATTTTTAACTGTTGAGAAGGTTAGTTTAATTCTTCATTGATGACTCAAACAATGTAGTTACCTTTACTGTATTTAACAAAATGTAATATTTTTAGGTAAATAAAATGGAATGGTGGTCAAGGCTGTTAGCAACGGATCCTGAAATAGCTACCCGAAAAATTAATCCTGAACCATCAAAGTTATCCGATTTGGATGGTGAAACTAGGGGTCTGGTTGAAAAAATGATGTATGACCAAAGACAACGTGAGCTTGGACTTCCAACCTCTGATGAGCAAAAGAAAAAAGACATGCTCAAAAAGTATGTTCTAATTAATTGTTTTACATATCGTAGGTTTATGGAAAAAGTCACAAAGGACATTTTTGATGAAGTTGAATTTTCAAGAATGTTTTCGCTAATTTCTGCTTTAAAAAAACCACAGTAAATTCACTCAAATGACACAAATCCTTTTACACATCAAATATAGTTACAGCAAACACACAATTTTCTGATTTCACAAAGAGAAAATTCATCAATGTTCTCAATGATTTAAGATTAAGATCATGAAATTTTAATCGACGACTGCTTACAATAAACATATAAATATTTTACTTTGATCATATATTATTTGTTAACTAATTTTAATTTTTTAATTTTTTTAGATTCATGGAACAGCACCCAGAAATGGATTTCTCAAAGTGTAAATTCTCATAATTTGTACCATTTTATCTCAAAACTCCAACCTAGAGCCTACTTGAACACCCATTCCGTTACTTAATGTGCTCATGATGTTCGATTGGTTATTCAGTTATTAATAAATAAATGTATTACAAAAATGTGTCCATCAGTTGTTCAATTAATTTTTTTGTTCATGAAAAACAAAATGCACACATACATTGCTAATTCTTATTTTACCCTTCTTTATTTTTTGTAAGTTGATATTTATTTAATAAAACAAAATAACTAAATTCTCTGGCTTATTTCCATTTTGATTCTTTTCTAATGTAATGAAAGTCTCACCCATATAACAATTCTCACATATCTGTGCCCCGGAGGTAAAGGATACCCGAGTCCATTTTTTTATTAAATAATTTAATAACTAAGAAATAAATTTTAAAAGCTCAAAATTATGAAAACTTATCTCCATAAACAAATATAAAAATGTGACCTAGTGTCCTTTACCACCCGGGTATAGATTTAGTAACTAAGAAACAAGTTTCATTAGCTCAAAGTTATGGAAAATTGGCTACTCGGACAAATAAAAAAATCTAACATGGCTTTCTTTACCTCCTATGGAGTGCAGATTTAGTAAATAAGAAATAAATTTAAATTACTCAAAGAAAATTGGGGAGTGGGGTAGCTCAGTGGTAGGGCACTGAGCTTCTAATGCAAAGGTCCTAGGTTCGAACCCCGGCTCATGGCAGACAATTTATTTATCTGTTTCATTGGCCATGGGGCGATGCAGGGTCAGGAGATCCTCCTGGGGCTCACCCATCCTCTATAAAGTGGGTACCCTTAATTAAATAATTGATTAAGGAGGAAAACCTAGCGGTTGAGCGTGATCTCGGTCAAATCAGTTCCTTGCACAACCGTTCACCTGGAAACAGTGCTTTCCCTAAATAGTACTGAACCCCAGACCCTTCATGGGTTGTAGTGGTACAGGTTAAAAAAAGAAAATTGGCTCCCCCAATCAAATACGAAAACGGACATGGTGTCCTTTACCTCCGGGGTAAAGGTATATTGTTTATTTTTGATTATATTATCAATAGCCAATAAATTTATTTATGTCTAGTCAATTCCTTTGCATGGTATGGATGGTCTTTAAAATTAAGTTATTCTTTAATTTCTTAAAACTTAAACTAGTATACATATACTGTTATAATATATCTGGATCTCTGCATAAAAAAAAGATATTTAAGTCACTCACTTATTTATAAAACACTATCTAAAAATTGACCATGCCTGAAGCTGAAATTTTAATTAGTACTTTGTTCTCCGCTTGTTGTAAATGAAAATCCACATACTGGCCAAAACATTGTGTCTACATTGTTGTTATGCTAAATGTAGGTTTGTATTCATTAATACTAAAAAACATTAAATAAAGGTACAATCTAGAGGTAGAGGCGATTAAAGCAATAACTAAATTTTCAAAAATAACTTAAGTGATAAGTATTCTGGATAACATTTGAAATAAATTAATAAGAAGTTTAACACAAAATAATACTAATCAGAATGGGCATGGAAAAGGAGGGGTTTGAACTCATAAACCATTGATATATGATGTATGGTAGGCGGAATAGAGTTGCAGAGGGAGGCAGCTCGGATGAGGAAGGACTTATTAAATGAGGCAGTTCTCTTGGCAGCAGGGTAGAAGTCAGAAGTAGGAAAAGGGGTGAGAAGGCATTGAATAGAAGGTTTAAAATGGAGTATGTATGAGGGATGCTGATTTGCTATAATACTGAATTTGCAAAGAAATGTTATTGAGTGGTGTTAAAAACATTTCTTTCAAAATCCAGACAATAAAAATTGTTCTAGTAATTTGAAAACTATATATCTGCTGAAAAACTATAAGTACTCATTTGGAAACTAATCCATTCTCGACATAATTAGACAAATCATCTGAATCCAATCAGTATTAGTAAAGATATAGAGTTAGATCAAATGTTTCCCTTTATTTTAATCTATATAATTTAAAACTGTATTATATGACCTAATTTTAAGTTATGGATTTCTAATTATTATTGAAGAATTTTTTTTAAACACATATATGACTGTAATATTGCAAACAGTAAATACTTTCTAAGAAATTCAAAGTTGTATCTCAAGTTATTTTTTGGATTTTAGTTATCACTATTTATACTAACAAAGCAAAATTTTGCTTTATATGACTATAATATCACAAATATGAAATACTTTTTTAAAAAATTCAAAGCTATAACTCAAGTTATCCTTTACATTTTAGTTGTTATTAGCTTTTGACTTATATGAATAAATTAAATTGTCATTGTGGAAAAGAATTAGTTGCTACTAATGCAAACTTTTACTAAAAAGTTTTTTTTGTTGATCTTGATCTGGGAGGTTGGATTCTAGAAAGACTTAATTGTATGTTATTCTATAGCATAAATGAGCCCTCCTTATGATGAAATGTTCTCATATCTTCAACTGACATAAAGTTGACATGAGTAAATCTAAGCTTGCTTGTATCATCATCAAATAAATCATTTTGAACCAATTAATTTTTTTATGTAAATTTATTGTCATAAAATGCTTGGATACGCACAGGGATGCCCATCCCCCCAAAGCCTACAGTGCAAGAATCTACCATCTTTCCCCTCCTTCCAAGATATTTTTTTGTCCACCTTTTCTTAATAACAGAGTAAGCTAAGGTAGAATTAGAAAAATCATAGATCATATACACTTACACATGCTATGGTCTGTCGCAACTTGCACCATAAAATTTCATTCAGGGCACCCCTGGATACCCAGATGATATGACAAGCAGAGGTGCCCCCCACCGAGGTGCCACGACCACCCAAGGTCGATGGCGTATGATTCCCTACCCCTCCTAAGATATTTTATTTCCCTTCTTAAAAACAGTGCAAGCTAAGGTAAAATTTTAAAAAAACCATAGGTGTGATACAATTACACTTTTAGTGGTCTGTACTATACTTTTCTCTTGTCCACTTTTCATTCAGAAAATTCATTACCCTGTCGACATGTGCCTTCCTCAAAAATTCAAAACCCCGTCAAAATATGACCTTCTCAAACATTCTAATGGTGCAACTTGCGTTTAACTAATCAAGAAGACAGTGAACAATTCGCTAAGACTCTGACAAGAGAAGCAGACCAGATTGGCCTATTAGTAAATGAAGACAAAAGTAAATATATGATAATAAGTCAAAAATTCCACCCCAATAACAGGATATGCATAGGAGGAAAATCATTCCCGAGAGCAGAAAAATTCAAACACCTGGGCTCCATAATAACCTCAATGAATGCCCATCAGTAAGAAATACTCTAGCGTAATGATTTGAGTACTGAGCACTCATGTAACTTTTAAATAAAGCTGATTCAAACTAACATATGAAAAGATTCTGAGACCATTCTTGATATACTTGTAGACTTTATAGGGCCATCAATTGATGTAATTCTTTGAACAGTAATGGTTACAAAATATTCATACCATTGAAATCAATTTATATAAGGCAAGTAAAAGGTTTTATTAAAATTTATTAATATTCATCAATATCCCAATAAGTAAAGTAGCCCCAATGGATAAGTTTCCAAGAAAAAAAGATAATCCAAGTAAATTAAAATTATTGGTAGAAAAATCTTGTAAATATTTACCATGAACCTCACTTACTCAGGGGGTAGTACTAATACTGGTGGAACTATTACTAGCGGATCCAAGATTTAATATTTTTTTTGGGAGGGGAGGGCCTCAGCCCAAAAGCTTTTTTATTATATAGACCGATAATTTCTTTGCAATAAAAAGAAACTAACTACCGCTATGAAATAGTATTCTGTGAATATCTACCAAGTAATTCTTGAAATCCTATTAAATGTAATTACAGGATACTTTTAGAGATAAGGTTTTAGTACTTTTTCCATAAGACATGGTTATATTTCACCATTATGAAGGGGGCTTCAACCCGAAAGTCTTCCTCTCCCCGTAGATCCGCCAGTGGGTACTATTATAATGTATTTATATTTCCACTTAACTAAGTTATAAATTTTGAGTAGTTTGTGAATTGATTTTAATTAATAGGAGCCTGACAGTGAGTTTATATGCGTTAGTGAAAGTTGTGAAACGGGATTGTTGCGATATGTTCCATTGGGTATAACGAAGGCTAAGTTTAGCAATGACCAACTCCGCCGAGAGAAAGGGTTCACCCATGGTTCACAGAATTGTGTGGGTTTCAGATCCGGATGCAAGTTCCGGCCGATGACTATTTTTCTCATTTTATCTTCGTCTGTCGTAAGCGCATCCTCTTGGTGATGTTAACTAATCAGAACTGATGAACCTGACAATTCGGTTTCTCAACAAACTAATCAAGTAATCTGATTGAGTCTAATAGATCGGTAACTAACTACATAACTGTGCTGTAGATACGATATTAAAATATATCGCTTGTTTTGATCTTACATTTTTTTTTATATTATAGAGTTGAGGAATCCTAAAGTGCTATCCTAATATAGTTCCGGTTCCTATTTTCTTGTTTCTGGATCTATCCTTCCTGCTATTAAACTGGGCCATAAACTCCGTTCTTCGAGACTAGTTTCACTTGGGAGCCAGTTTCTACTATTATCATCAGCTGTTATATAAAGTGTCGCATAGTCCTGGCTCCAGGATTTGGTGGATTTCGGAGCAAGGGCGACTGATCCCGCCAATCTAAATGTCAAGGTGCTTGTCGACGGGTGCTTAGCAAGTTCTTTCACAGGCCATCTCATTTTGAATTTTTTTTTTAAATGTATATATTTAAATTTTAACCGTGTGAAAAGTTATATTTTAAATTCTAAAACATAGATTATTTATGGATAATTGAAACTCCTTTAGACGTAGGTGAAGGGAGAGAGAGTATGTGCCCCCAACTAAATTCGACAATGGAAATGAAATGTAGAAAAATGGTTTTTGTACCACTTTTTCATACTAAAACGAAAGATTCCGAATATATCTTTAACATTGATATAGTTAAAAACTATATGTTTCATTA